GGAAAAGTGCACACCAGGTCCTACAAAGACATGTCATGCAGAGTGGTGACCCTAGCCGGTGCAAGGTGAGGACTGCGACAGATGAATCGGCCGCAGTTGGTAGCCATCTCCCAGTGTGTGGAGTCACACAACACAGCGATCGTGGCGCCTACAAGCTCCAGCAGAGCAAGCCGATGACGTCCAACGGTGAACGGCAGGCTGGATCGGTGAGGCCGCCCTCCAGCCTCATACCAGATGTGGGGTGATCCCCCTTGCTTTAAAGGATGGGGTTGGAGGGGAGAATGAGGTCATGGCTAGATGACGGATAAATGATGAGGGATGGCAACACCGACAGAGACACGGTCAGTATGGGTGGACGAACACAGACACCATCGAAGTAATAAGGAGAAGGTAGCAACAGAGAGGCGAAAGCAACAGGCAGTGGACGGGCTGTTATTGGGTTGGCTAGGAAGCCGCTCGATGATCTTTCAAAGCTTGGTATCCCGTGTCTTTGTTTCGGCAGCCGATCACAGCTGGTGCTTCCGGATTGGGGACGGGCTGGCTTCGTTTCTTCGTAGTAAGTACGGATTTCTTTGACTCCTGAGTGCTGCGGCATTTCCAGTCCAACAGACCCCACGAAAGGGTGCCTCAAAGAGAGGCAGACCATACTGTGTAAGCGAGTCAGACTCCTGCTCCACCGGAAGCAAAGCTATTGAGGACTGTCTGAGAATGACGGAGGTTTATTTAAGCCGGACAGCGACTATTCTCCCAATTTACGTCAAACACTATAGATAGACACGGCTAATCCGGAAGAATGATTAGAAGCCGTGGGAAGCAAACGTGGATACAGTGTACACCAATGCAGATGAAGCGATGCGAGACAAGCAATGATGAAGCTCCATCGGAGTGGGTTAGAAGGAAGAGGAAAACCACTGCAATCAAAACAAAATAGTAATAATAATAAATAAATAAAACAAACACTTGGTGAGACGATCAATTGCCATCCATGTTTCATTCTCCTGGACATGAATTGTGGATCCCAGAGTTGGGATTTGTTACCTTAAACTTACCTAGCCTTACATTAGTTTACGGCCCCTCGGGGATGGTCAGGGCCGCCAGACCCTTAGACCCTGGCAGGGTCCGAGGGTTCTCTTCCCTTCCCCATTACCGTCTGATACACGGTATGGTCAAATTACCACCGCAAAACCAACCATTTCGATGCGCTCTTGGCATTCTTGGCAGAGGCCCGCTCAGTCCGGCAGACTCCTCTTTTTGGCAGTGCCAGCGCTGCTTACAGGAGAGGTTTCAGTGGAAGGTGTCAGAAGTCATGGAAATAGTACCAGAGTGTCTGACTTGGTCCATTGGATGTGTCTCAATGCTTGAAAGTGTGTATTTAAAACCAACCAACAACTAGATTTCGAGTCTCGAGCAGTTTTCCATCTTCCCGTTTCCCATCTTTGGCCCTGAGGATGTGCAGTGAGTGAGCCGTCCAGGAGAGAATCCCAATAAACAGACGCCCCACAGCACGGAGAGGGAGGAAGGGCCTGAGAGGTCAATTTCCCAGCGACAGGGACGGAAATGGCGAGAGGATGAGCCCGGGAGTTGCCCAGTTGGATCGGGTCAGGAACAAGGAACCAGGCTCGGCATGAGTCTGGACCCGTCAGAACACTGTATTACCGCCCGTATCAAAACCCCCGCCAGGGTCCTGAGCCAATCATCCCACAGGGTCCTGGGGCTAGTTTCACCCTTTCAGCCCACTCGCTTTCTTTCTCTCTTCTGTTTCGCTCGTTAACCCATGGTCCTTTCCAGCCAGTGCTGGTTTTTTTTCAAAGTGGAATTGAATTTACTCCAACGCCCACATGAATGCTTGACGGGAAGAAGAGATTCACAAGAAAAAGGCTTGTCTATGGAAATGAGAGACGATCCATGACACTGCCACATGGAAGAGTCAGATGGTAGCATTGGAACTAGTAACTATGGAAGTGAGAAGGATAGTAGGATAGCCCCATGGGCCGGACAATGGATTGTCCACCCTGGAGATCAACATCGACCGGAACTCCAATCACAGTGGAATTTACTATTTTTACAGCGGAGGGCGTCGTAAGCCAGAACATCCGACAGGCACACAGCCAACAAACGATGGATACTGATAGTACTGACTGTCTGACTGTTTGTTAGTGAGTGAGTGAGGCAGGGGCCGGGGCCACTCGCTTCCCCCGTCATTCGCCTCCTCCCCCCCTTCTGGTACTGGTTATTTCCAAATACCCCCTCCCTCCTCTTCCTTCTCTTCTCTTCTTCTTCTTCTTCTTCCTTCTTCTCTCCATCTTCTTTCTTTCTTTCTCTCCTTCCCAGCCACTTCATCATCCATCCAGCCATCGCTATATCCACGGCGCCTTGTTTCAGCCGTCAGTCACTCGTTGTATACTTCTAGACTTTCTTCCTCTTTCTCCCTTGTATTTCAACTCTCCTGTGGAAAGTTGATAACTCGGGAACTGCAGTACTTTCATCTGCAGATTTAGAACCAGCTACATTGAATTCGGACTCTCGCTTCACACATCACTGTTCACATAATGAAGTTCTCTGCTACTACCCTTGCTGGAGCTTCGCTCCTCCTGGGCCGCGCTATTGCTGCGGACCTGCCTGCCATTGAGGCCAAGGTATGTTCCCGCCATCCGCCGCAGGGCTGGAGGTCAAGTTCCTAACTGGTCGGGTTGGCAATAGAGCAACAAGTTCTTCTACTCCAACAATGGCACCCAATTGTATGTTATCCTACCGCTCGGTGTTGTCTTAGACTTCTTACTGACCCATTCCAGCTTCATCCGTGGCGTTGCCTATCAGCGTATGTAGCTCAATGGTCAATGGCGCCTCGACGCGCAGCTAACCCGTCACCAGAGGACTACACGAGCAACGGCACTGACTCCTCCAACGCCGACTACACCGACCCTCTGGCCGATGCCTCTACATGCAAGCGTGATATCCCCTACCTCCAGCAGCTGCGCACCAACGTGATCCGTACCTATGCTGTCGACCCCACCAAGGACCACACCGAGTGCATGCAGGCCCTGCAGGATGCTGGCATCTACCTCATCACTGACCTGTCGGCCCCCTCGACCTCCATCAACCGGGACGATCCCCAGTGGAACACCGACCTCTATACTCGCTACACCAGCGTCGTCGATGCCTTTGCCAACTACACCAACGTCATCGGTTTCTTCGCCGGTAACGAGGTCGCCAACAGCCAGAACAACACCAACTCCATTGCCTACGTCAAGGCCGCCGTCCGTGACATGAAGGCCTACATCAAGGCCAAGAACTACCGTACCTCCCTCGGCGTTGGTTATGCTACTGACGATGACTCCACCATCCGTGACGACCTGAAGAGCTACCTGGTCTGCGGTGACTCTGACGACCGCATCGACTTCTTCGGTTACAACATCTACGAGTGGTGCGGTGACTCTTCCTTCAAGACCTCCGGTTACTCGGCCCGTACCGAGGAGTTCAAGGACTACCCCGTCCCTGCTTTCTTCTCCGAGTATGGCTGCAACAGCCCCTCTCCCCGTACTTTCACCGACGTCCCCGTCCTCTTCGGTGACCAGATGAACGACGTCTGGAGCGGTGGTATCGTCTACATGTACTTCCAGGAAGACAACGACTACGGTCTGGTTTCGGTCGACGGCTCCAGCGTCAGCACTCTTAAGGACTTCTCCAACCTGTCTTCCCAGATGCAGAAGGTCACTGCCACCGGTGTGAACAGCAACAGCTGGTCCGCTAGCAACACTGCCACCCCTACCTGCCCCAGCGTCGGCACCGCCTGGGAGGCCACCAACACTCTCCCCCCCTCCCCCAACGAGGATCTCTGCTCCTGCATGGAGGCTTCTCTGTCTTGCGTCGTCAAGGACTCCGTCAAGGAGAGCAAGTACGGTGACCTGTTCGACTACATCTGCGCCAAGGGTGACTACTGCGACGGCATGTCCAGCAACTCCACCACCGGTGACTACGGTGCCTACAGTGTCTGCTCCACCAAGCAGCAGCTCAGCTTCGTCATGAACCAGTACTACGAGAAGCAGAGCGCCAAGGCCAGCGCTTGCGACTTCAGCGGTGATGGTACCACCACCTCTTCCAGCGCTGCCACTGGCACCTGCTCTTCCCTGCTCAAGGAGGCTGGCACTGCCGGTACCGGCAGCGTTACCTCCTCCCCCACTGGTGGCGGCTCTGTTGCCAGCGCCAGCTCCAGCACCTCCGAGGGTGCTGGTGCCGGTCTGACTGCCCCCAACGCCGTCCAGGTCGGCAGCTGGCAGCTGGGTGCCTACGCGGTGACCGCCGTTGGCGCCGCTCTTGGCATGATCCTGCTGTAAGCGTGAAGCGGAGGAGTGGGGGCCATGGAAGCATGGCCCGTTCGACGGGTGGATTTGTTAGCCGTACATAATTGAATCCGTTCTACTTTGTGATTATTCCAAGTAGCATTTAATGCACATATTTTGTATCACTACTTTTGAGCTATCCTTGAAACTGTAACAGATTATCACTATAACATCCTAGATCGGTATGATGTGTATATGGCTGTATGTTAAAGTTCTTACCTGTACTATGCAGCTGCAGACACGCGATCCAACTCCGATAGTGCGTGCCAACGGGCGTCGGCAGCGGATGCCGACTCGGTCAGATGTCCGAGTAGACCGAGCGAGCAGTTCGGCCACACAATCGGCCAGCCGAATCGGGCAGAGTCTGCACGAGATATATAAGATAAGAAGTATCGCAGATAGCAGAGTAGATTGTACCCAAAGATTCCAACTCAATTTCATTATAATACTTCTTAGAAGGGACCCATGCCGGCCATGGCTCCCGATCTCGAATCCAACCCAACCCTACCCAAAGAGGCAAATACACAAACACCAATCATTGACCACAATGACACTCCCAAATCACAACAACCATCAATTATGAATGAAAAGCCCACAGTGACAAGAGGCTATGACCTCCCCTTCTGGCACAAATCCATCATCCTCTTCATCGTCTCATGGATGACCCTAGCTGTCACCTTCAACAGCACCTCGCTGCTCCCCGCCACCCCCGAAATCGCAACCCGGTTCAACACCACCGAGGAAATCCTCAATGTCATCAATGCCGGTGTCCTTTTGGCCATGGGCTTTTCTTCGCTGATTTGGGGTCCCATGAGTCGCTTAGTCGGTCGTCGCATTTCGTATAACATCGCCGTTTTGGTGCTGTGCGGGTGCTCGGCGGGTACGGCCGCCGCTATCAATTTGCCCATGTTTACGGCCTTTCGCATTTTGGGTGGATTGACGGGCACCTCGTTTATGGTTATGGGGCAGACTATTTTGGCGGATATTTATGAGCCTGTATAGCCTCCTCCCCCGTTAGTACAATATTGTGTGGCCTAATGTTGTATGTATAGGTAGTTCGAGGAACGGCAGTGGGATTCTTCATGGTAGGGACTGTTGCGGGTCCGGCTATTGGTATACCTCTCCCTAGCTTACCCTATACTATATGCTCAAGAAGCTAATGAATGTAGGCCCCTGCTTCGGCGGCATCATCGTCACCTTCGCCAGCTGGCGCATCATCTTCTGGGTGCAAGTCGCCATGACAGGCTTCGGCCTGATCCTATCCCTGATCTTCGTCCCTGAGATACCCTCAGCAGACGCAAAGATCATCACCACTGCCACTGCCACCAGCACCACCACTCCTCCAACAATGAAAGAAAATACTCTTCGCATCCTCGCCGCATTCAACCCTATCCACATCGTCCGTCTCTTCATCTACCCCAACATCTTCCTCGCCGTACATACCCCCTCCCCCTTCCACCACAAAACAATCAGCATACTAATAAAAATAAAGTGTCTAACATGCGGCTTCCTCTCCACCTTCCAATACGCCATGCTCACCTCCGCCCGCTCCATCTTCAACCCACGCTTCCACCTCACCACCGCCCTCGTCTCCGGCCTCTTCTACCTCGCCCCGGGGGCCGGGTTCCTCGTGGGGAGTATTCTCGGCGGCCGTCTCTCCGACCGCACGGTCCGAAACTACATCAAAAAGCGTAACGGTACCCGTCTCCCTCAGGATAGGTTGAACTCCGGCCTGGGGACATTATTCTTCGTCCTCCCCGCCGCGGCGCTCGTCTATGGGTGGACCCTGCAGGAGGAGAAAGGCGGTATGGTGGTTCCCATCATTGCGGCGTTTTTTGGGGGTGTGGGGTTGATGGGAACTTTTAATGGGTTGAATACGTATGCTGCTGGTAAGATTATCCCTTTTTTTTTTCTTCTATCTTTTGATGAATGATATATATTAATGATGGTTGGGTTGGGTAGAAGCACTCCCCCATCGCCGATCCGAAGCTATCAGTGGGAAATACATCATCCAGTATTTGTTTTCGGCGGGGAGTAGTGCCGCTGTTGAGCCGTTGATTGGGGCGATTGGGGTGGGGTGGACGTTTACCATTTGTGAGTGATCTTTTCCATTCCTCCGTTCCCTTCAGTTTGGGTTTGATGGTGGGCTAATTGTTGGGTGTGGTGGTGTAGGTGTGTTCTTGTCTATCATTGGGGGCGTCTTGGTGGTGATTATTACCCGTAAGGGGTTGGATATGCAGCGGTGGGTGGAGAGGAGGTGGGGGGAGGCTTGATCTTTCTCTCTCTCTCTCTTTCTCTCGGTTGTTGAGGGGTTGGTCAGGTTATGAATTCATGTGTTCATGAGTGTGCTTTGCATTGGGTATGGTGTTTGGTTTCATGATAGATGGATAGATAGACTTGATACACGGATAGACAATAATGTATTGCATGTCTCTGGTTTATGGAAATCTAGCTGCATTCAGCTATACCCCTGGTACACATGCTCCTCATGCATATACGTATCCACCGGATGCAACATGCCCAGATCAAAATCACTTTGCGCCAAAAAATCCTGCATCGTCGGCTCCATGAACGCCATTGCCGTCGTGAACCCGCTCGTCGCATCTCGTACTACACCCCCCTCTAGCACACCCGTCGTCACTGGGTGTAGCTCGAACTCTGCTGGACCCATTGGCCCCTCGGCAATACTATGCGCTGTCAGCGCCGTGTTCGACGACGCTGGAGTCGCAGCCGCCGTGGCCGCTGCAGACGCGGCTGCATCCTTGGCAGATACCGTCCCCGGTCCTATCGCTGCAGCGGCGTTCCGTCGACTGCGGGAATCGCGTCGCCGCTCGCTAAGATATCGGTCCAGACAGAATTTGACCTGCTCCAGGTTGATGTAGAATTCCGATGCCGCTAGATTGCCGTTCTCGCTCATTGAGTGCAGCACTTCCATGCCGGTTTCGAAGGCCCCCAGGTCTGCTGGGTTGCCGACGGGCGTGAAGCTGGACATGGCCAGCACGAGTGCGGAGGAGAAGAGGTAGTGTGCGTGGAAGAATCCGAAGGTTGGCAGTGTGCCGTTGATCCATCGGGTTAGGATGATCGAGTGCGAGTGCCGTGCGGCGTGGATGCAGGCTTCGCCGAGTGTGAGCACCGGCTGGGAGATCTCTTCAATGTCCTCTGGTCGGGCTCCGTCCGCTTCGCTCAGTTTGATCAGGATGTGGAGTAGTGTTGGTCGGGTTGTCAGAATCACACACTATTTGCGGTCAGTTATTTGATCGATCTTATGGGAACTGGAATGATGTACCTGGTTGAATGATAGGTGCAGTGAGCCCACCGGTGTCCGACTCATCTCTGGCTCCACCTGGTCCAGTCGCAGATGCTCGGGCAGGGTTTCCACCCAGTTCTTCAGCGCTTTCAAGAGCTTCTGCACCCTCTGCAGGAATGTTTCGCTGTACTTGCGGCGACTGTACAACTTGGCGATCGTCTCACCCACGATCCGTGCCAGGCTGATGTTGGCCTTGAGATACTCGGTATCGGAGAACTGCTCCTCCTGTAACTGCGCCGGGGTGACGTTGGACGGCATGTCTAGGTGGATATCATCATCCAAGATCTGCGATGGCAGGCCCATCTTCGATCCCCACATGCGGTCGAAGATGTAGATGGTCCACCAGATGCGCACCCGGTGCTGCCTCTCGATTGGATCGATCAGCTGCGACTCAGGGACGTTGTGGTTCATTCCAATCGACAGCCCCAACCGCATAGCGCTTCCAATCAGAACATAGGCCGAATGCCGTCGGTTCAAATAATACGAGAATAAAGACATCAACAACAGCGTCTCCAAATGCGTGATGCTCGTCCTCTCCGGCAGCACCTGCACCAAGCTCAACGCCCGCGCAAAGTACTTGGTACCCGGTACTCTAGAACCTGAGGATGGCTCATTTCGCATGGAGTAGGCCTCTCCAAACGCGAATAGAGCAAAGAACTTGCATTGATTGACCTTGCACTCGAAGTCGCCCGTCTGGTAGATCTCCTCAAGCTTCTCCAGCGTCGACTTACGCAGCACCAGATGGTAAATGAAACCAATCTGCCGCAGCGCAATCTTCAACAATAGCCGCGCCTGGTGTAAACTCGGCCACCAGATATCCCCCGTATTAGCCGCGGCGATATTCTCATCCCGGACATACTGCGTGCGCGTAATATGCGCCGTCGCATTACTCCCCGTCAAGAAGCGCCGGAAGCGCGTCGCAAAAGCCGTACATGCTGCCTCGCCCACGAAAAGCGGCGGCGCAGACGGATCGTATGGATGGAACCAAGCCCGGTCCCCGATCAAAGGATTGCGCACATTGGGATTATTGCTTTCCGCCTCATCTGGCGCCTCTGCCGTTCGCGACGGGCCGCCGCTGCGCCCGTCTTCGGCCTCGGTCGCGTTGACCGAGGAAGGGGTCGGTTGTTCTCGCAGGCGTCGAATCTCGGCCTGCAATTCATGCAGATAACTGTGGGAATATTCGATCAGTCTAATTCCCGGCTACTATAAAAAGTCATGCATGACGTCCTTCCATCCCCGAACATCGTGTGAGTCACAAGAGTGTCTGTTGGACATACCTCTCGCTCACTTTGACCTGACGGTCCCGAGGTGCGTATTGGCACTCATCGGCACAGCCAACCTGGCGGCATTTGGCGCAGGGCTGGTCGCCCGAGCATTTGATTTTGTGTGCGTGACATCGTTGGCAGCTGGATTTGCACGATGGAATTAGCAGTGATGCTTAGATATTGCTACTGTGTGAGAGGGCCACAGTAGAAGGGCACACTTACGCAACAAACTTCCTCCGTTTCGGGCATTCGACCTCTTCGGTCGCTCTGGAATGTTTTCTACGGTTCATGAGTCATGACGATGCCCGATTTGATGTATCAGGTCCTGAAATCGTCCGCAGAAGACAAGTAGATAACTGATGCAGAGTAGTATATTCTGATGAAGTGGATGAATGAGTGATGGATCAAGTTTCGGACTGTCGGCGGTCGGTTCAACATCGCCGAGCCTCAGGCCGAGATGTCGCTTAGATAAGAATGAATCAACCCAGCACAGCAGGAGCTTGGATTCAGTTGGGCATTTGTACATTTCAATGATGATACTAATGGTTAGACTTGATACATAAATGTAAAAAGGTCAACTGGTCTAGCAACGGTGTAATATGAAGTAAGTTTTACTAGTAACATCCTCCGGTCCTCGGAAATAGTAGGAAGCACGGACATGACGAGATATATAGTATCTCCGGGCTGTTTAAACTGCCGCAATGCTAGTAGTATTCAAGTTCAAATAATCACCAACCCTTCAGCCTCATGCTTGTAGAGCATACTACGTCGTACTTACTAGTTCTATTATAGACCAAGCAGACCTGAATGACTTTCTACGTGCAATTCAGGTTTAGCGCGTCCTACTCCACTGTCACTGTCAAGTGTCCCCTCTACAAACTTTGAACCGAGTGGAGCCTCAAATCAAGATCGTCTCGGGCGAGCATTAACCGGTTTTGAGGGCGCACACGAAGCAAGTCCGCGACCAACACGTGCATCCTACACCTGAGAAATCACCACCTCCCATCACTGTGGCGTTACTGCAGCGCGAACACAGTGTCAACGCGCCAAGGGCGCCACGGCGATCCTTGTAAGCCTTCTCCCTTGTCAAGCCGCTTTGTGGAAAGCGTTCTTCCACCACTCCCGGTTCTGATCTCCGGCACTCGGCCGGTATGCGGACACCGGAAATGCTGTGTGAACCGAGATAATACCAACATCAAGCACAGCTAGAAAGCCCCATTGGACTTGTCAACGGGGATTTCCGAGCGATATGTAAATCCAGCACACCCGATCAAAGTTTCGCAGCCGCTCTGGAAGAGTTTCTTAGACGTGTCACACAGCCGCAGGCAGGGAAGGGAGGGTGCGACAGGCGGGTAAGCGATCGAGCCCCGTGTTGATGACCATTGCTTCAATCGTTGTCCTATTGAGTGGCCTCGAAGGGAAGTAGGAAATCCAAAGCGATAGTGTAAGCCTAACAGGAACCGGGAGTCTCGACTGAACGCAGTTCGCTCAATGTGGCCCAAGGGGCAAAAAAGCAAGGTTAGTGTGGAGTTAAAAAAACTCGGGGAGCTGAGAAGAGCGACAGTGGCTGCCCGCAAGCGTGCGCGCTAACGCGGGTCTATCTATGCGGATTTCATTTCCAGACCCCGAAGTGCGCGTAACCCATCCAAGCCTTGTCCAACAGTATTTTGTGTGCGCACCTCCTACGCTGCGTGTTAGGGGCCCAAGGAGAGACCCAGGGGCTGTAGATCATCCAGAAGTATAAGACAAGCCATGCAAGAAATAAATCTACCGATCGCAGAGCCCACAGGACAGTTGGGAAGCCTCGAGCATCGGGTCCACCCCCGGGCGGTTGCAAGGGTGCTAATTTTGGGAAAACCGGTTGAGACTGGGAGGTCAGATCAGGCTGAAAGTCTGGAAGACCTTGGTTAGCGCATTGGCGAAAGGGATATCCGGGAATTGTGTGCCGGTGCCACAGGGGAGGAGGAAAGGAGACTACTAATTAGTAGTAGCGAAGCGATGCTCGAAGCTGGCTGGCAACAATGCAGCTGAACCCGACGGCTTCGTCGCCACCTCGCCTTCTTATTTTCCCTCTTGTCCCCTCCCTCTCTGCGATCTCATCGGCGAGATCGTGCATGGGATCTGGCATCCAGATTCAATGCCCTTGCTTCATCTCTCTGCGATGCTCCAGGAGGAAAAACTGTTGGTCCGCGTGCAGGAAAGAGGGTCGCAGAGTCAGCCACATCTCCATACGGAACCATTTTCCATGCCAATCGTGATGGCGGTTCCGAACTTCAGAACTACTTAAAGTAAGTTTCGGCCGATGGAACGGATGGAACGAAGCATATTTGAACGGTCGACTGCCCCCCAAGTGAATGGTTCGCATATTCTGCTTCAGTGGACGTTGACATTCCTATTCCCCCCTTCTGCAAGTCATCCGAGCGGGAGACAAAGAGTCTTGGGGTGTCTGGCGGTTGGGGGAAAGTTGAGTTGGCCCTGCTGGTCAGGCAGACAAACCAGTCAACTTTCTTTCTCTCCAATAATCTCCTCCGTCTCTATCCCTCCCTTTCCCGATCTTCTCCCCGCCTCGGCCGAAACATCCAACGGCTTCAACTGGTCCAGCCAGTATCGAACCTCAAATCCCGTCACATTCTTCGTTAACCTCCCCCCTCGATACGTTTCTATTGCAAAGTGCCTACTAGATATTCTTCTAAGCACGGACCCTGTAACATCACCTTCCCGCCTCCTTGCTCAAGAAGCAGCGGACAACAAACAGTGCGTCCCCGAAAATGTCCAACCATGAACCCCCTCTGGACGGCGGACGCGAAAGAGAGTTATCGCTATCTGAAAAAGTGAAGCTATAACCCCTAACGGTCTCTTTGCCTTCTGGCTAATGTCTTCTGTGATTTTCAGTGTAGACTGATACAGTGAGCCAAATGTGCCGAAACTCTTGGCCACGGAGCCTCCTCCCTAGAACGCGCTTGTGAACGATTCCCAACCCAAAGTGAAACGCGAAACGCGGCTCGCCGAACGTCATCTAAGGTTGTGCTGTTGAAACTGGCTAGTCGCCCATGACATTGGCTGCTCCGGGATGGAGTACCGGCTAGTGGTACCCCGAGGAAGCGATGCCCAGTGCTATGGTCGGCCGCCTCGTCCACGATCTGCGTCGAACCTTAGAGAGCTTATCAAGTTCTATATCCGCAGGCCCACGAGCTCGTGGATTGGAGCCACTGCACGGTGGTCTGACACCTACAGACTGCGCCAAATGGAAACAAGAGGGAGCTGCGGGGAAACAAGCTCATCTAACATCAGTGCCGATGACTAGTAGTTTCCTCGATCAGCATGATAGATCCATTCCATGTGTGCTTGGTCAATGCTGGTCGTTTGCAGAGATAACCCGACCGGCTGGATTGTGTTAGGATGGCTAGTGGTACGATCAGTACATTTCCTTGCAAATATCACTGCTTGACGCGCCAAGAGGCCACCAGCTAGCGGGGAAGAATCGTCTGGGACATACTGCGTACGTACTGCGGCGTGGTTTGGTAACACAGACTGCCGAGCATGTGATGTTTAGCGACAAGCATTACGCCAAAAGCCATATCATCATCATTTGACCCCAGCACGCAGTTGAGTAGCGCTCAAGGGGAAGAAATCCCAACCAGCACAATTCAAGCCTGTGAACATGTGATCACACCAATCTGTTCGCCACGCTTCCAGCCACCGCTTCATCCACCCAATACGGACACATGACCCTTTAAACGGTCGCGGTCAGTAGATGTATAGATGTCCGTTGAAATTTCACTCAGATTTACATGAAAGAAAGATTCGAGTCATCAACCTCCTGCCTCTGATACTGAAGCCGTCGAGAAAGCACGACCTTATCTTGCGTTTCCGGACCGTTCATTCGAATTTCTTCAGCTTTCAACGTATCGAGGGACTAAAACGAGGAAGAAGAGATATGAGCCAGACATCAAAAAGGAGGATAAAAGCCACGAAAAGGGCACGGATCATCGTAAAGAGACAAAATTCAAAGGCAACAGGTGGCGGATGATGCAGAGGATATACTGCTTACCTCGAATAGGCAGCAGCTTCCCCATGAATGCAGTGATGAATCCGTGAGAATTGTCGCAACCCCTCCCCGATCCAAGGATAGGTGGTCGTATGTCGACACCATCGTTGACACCAGTGGTTTTGCCAGCAAAAGACACCCGAAAAGAAGCAATGGATTAGCTAGCCACCAGGTGCCCTTGCGGTATCGAGGTTGCGGGGTGTTTGCATTCCTCCCCGGGTGTTTAACTCAAAACTCCATGTCTAGGCCTCTGGCATCGGTTTCGATGAACTTTTATCTGGCGCCACTGAGCAATCTCAGGACACGCAAGCGAGTAAGGACCACATGTTTAATGCTGCTGGTGGCGCTCAATTGTGAATGGAAGTGTGTGTCATCCAGGTGGTGCGGCGGCGCGCACCACACGATCTTCCATGGAGCTGATGCGAGACTCGAAATAATGATTCCATCACCATGTTTTCAGGTTGTTGTTGATGAGCCAGATGAGAGGGAAACGGGGACTGTCCGCCTCACCAACATTGGCACCGGGTTGGCTGTCATGCGGTACCATGAGGTCGGGTCGCGCCCTTTCTAGCTGGGTCACGGGCGAGCTTCTCGCCCAAAAAGAAAATTAGGGAGGGTTTATGGATGAGAGAGAGCCTCTTTCCCTTGTCAAAAAATGCGGAGATGGAGGGAGTGAAGAACCATGGTTGAAAATGATAGCCCGAAGGACAGTCTTCTGGTCCAATTCCACTTGGTGTTCCGGAGACGCGAGCCGATTTCCGCCCAACTTGTGGCGAGACCAAACCCGGCAGTTAACTCCAGCCTACCACACTTCTCCCTTGACCGGCTCTGGGTCCCTTTCGGCCAACAAGCGTTAAGCTGTTGCTATGAATCTGTGACACCAAAAACCGCCCTGTCCACTATTATTGTTCTCTCCTGGTCTATAGTGAGCCCCTACGCCCAGTCCTCGCTAATCAGGAGTGTTTGCCCGTATTTGCTGTTGCTGGGTTCGTCCGTGCTATTGAGGGTTGGGACCAAGGGGGCTGACAAGTTTTCTCGCCTCGCCTCGTCTTGTCTTTGACAATGAGCGACAACAACCGGCCCCCTCCTTTCCCTTATCCCTCTTATTCCTCGTCCGCCTCGTCCGACTTTCCGGACAGTGAACCTAAGTATCATAACTGGCCGGTGCCTCAGTACTCGCAGCCTGCTTCTTTCGGTCCACCGGTCTCTTACGAGTCCGTCTCCGCCAGTCATGCTGAGACCCCCGCTGCTGGCGCCTCCCGGAGCGCTCCTGGGGATCGCACAGTGAACTCCAAGGTAGCCATCCCGAGGACTGTGAGCACGAGCACCTGGACCAGTAGTGGCCGAGTAAGCCGAGCTTGCGAGAACTGTCGAGACCAGAAAGCCAAATGTAGCGGTCACCGCCCGACTTGCCAGCGATGCCAGGAGTCGGGCATCCGCTGCTCCTATGGAGATCGGAAGCGCGAAAAGATGGCCAAGTGCGTTTACGTGACTGCTTCCAAGTTGATCGATGAATCTATCTGACGGTGAGTTCTAGGCAGCTCAGTGATCTGACAACCCAGGTCCAGGTATACGAAGCCGTTATGCGAGAGATTGCTCCGAAGCTGGACTCGCAAACGGCCCAATACGTCGAACGAATTTTGCACGATGTAAGATCCCTTTAATCCATCCATCTCGACTTGGTTGAACTCTCCCGCTATCCTCTATTATTCCTTCCTTCCCCTCTAGACCCTATTTCCAGCCCTGTTTAACATAAAGAAACCCATTACAGCAAAGAGACGACCATGACCAGCTCGGTGGCGCACATGGGTCGTCCTCATCATCGGCCGCCAAAGTAGCCGATGCAGCCCTTCTGGGGCACCCCTCACCAGGTTCTTCGCTGGCGGCTCTAGACTATACCAACGAAGACTTTAACCGTGACGAGAAAATACAAGCCATGGGCTTTGTGGGTGAACATTCGGAGATCGCTTGGATGTACAGATTGAAGCGCCTTCTGGAACGATCGAACTCCGCATCCCCCCGAGAGACCTGGGATCGACATTCGGTCTCCTCCGTGAATTTTTTCCTTGACGACTCGGATATCCCAGTTATTGATGATGTTGATCCATCTGAACGACCCCCTATCACGGTGGCTGACCAGCTTGTCGACAGCTATTTTCAAGCCGTCCATCCGACGTTCCCAATCGTGGGCAAAATGATTTTCCTGGCACAGTACAAGTCTTTCTACTCGGCTCCCCATGTACGGCCGGGGAAAAGATGGCTTGCCATACTCAATTTAATCTTCGCGATCGCTGCAAAACATGCGCGTCATTTGTACAATGACGTTGAGAACGGAACCGACGAGAGCTTGGTCTACTTCTCGCGGGCATGGAAGCTTAGCATGAATGATACAGCACTTCTCGAGCACCCAAACCTGCAGCAGGTGCAAGTGGAGGGGCTGACTTCGTTTTACCTAATGTCCATAGGACAAGTCAACAGGTACGCGGCTTTCTTGATTCCTTCCCCTTACGATCCAGCGCCCATTCTTTTGGTGGTCGCCCGCATCTCCCGCATCCCCCTCTGATTTGATAAAACCAATTTTCTAGGTCCTGGAGAATCTGTGGTATATCCATTCGTTCGGCTGTCACCATGGGGCTGAACCTGAGAAGCGAGAGCAATACGATTGTTCATGTGTCCAAGGAGACGCGTTATCGGGTATGGTGGTCCCTATATATGCTGGATAACTCACTTTGTGTCATGACGGGCCGCCCACCGAGCACCAATGATGTTTTCTGCACCACGCCGCTCCCGGTTCCTTTCAAGGAGGAAGACTTTATGGATAACAAGGTCGTCCAACTGATCGCGGATCATGAAGCTCGAAATATCTTTATGGAAACCTTCTGTCTACGGGTTCCTGGGAAATCTCCCGACAACGTGGGAACGCCCGACTCTTTCCGGCTGCAAATGAATTCGTTTGGGAAACAAAGTGACCAGGTCGCGGCTGGCGCCATTGAAGCGCTTACACCAAACACCTCGCTTTATTTCCTTTATCATATTGACCTAGCGCTGATCATGCGGGAGTCGGTTGACCTGTTGTATGCTCCAGGGGCAGCTCGAAAGTCGTGGCGAGAGATCGAGGGGTCCATCTCCATGCTGCATGGCAAAGTTGAAGCATGGCTGTCCAGGCTTCCGCCAGCCTTCCACTTCACTAAAGGGGCACCCGCGTTCGAGAGGCAACGGTCAAGCCTGGCGTTTCGTTTTTGCAGCACCAAGATGCTTATTACGCAACCGTGCCTAAGCCGTCTCGCCCAACAGAATTACGGCAATGACCCACCGGGACGATTTTGCGAGACCATGGCAACCGTGTGTGTCGACCTGGCCGGTCAGATGCTCGACTTACTGCCTGAATCCCCGGACCTCGCCTGGGTCTATGGGGTCTCTCCCTGGTGGTGCATCTTACATTATTTGATGCAATCCACCACCGTCCTCATCATGGAATTGCTACTGATGGCAAGACCCGGAAGTGCCAAGTTTCGGCTAGTGCTGGCGCAGGTGTCCAAAGCGACCGGCTGGCTAGCGGAGATGTCGACGAAGGATCCATCTTGCCAAAGGGCCTGGCTGGTGTGCAAGGATCTTATCGCTGAGCATGCCCCCGACCTTGGTGACATCGCCAGCTCCGCCGACCGTGGCAAATCCTGACTGTCTGCACGGTGCAAGCATTCCATGATGATCTCTCCCTCACACCGTGCGTTTCCGAAACAAGCCCGACAACTGACCGAAGGTCCCTGTCCAGTGAAGCCTTGGACTCACCCACTGTAGTGGGCTACTCCCCCCGTCAGTAACCATTAGTGGTCGCGGCTGACCAAATTGTCTCCGTCGAGGGAAAATAATTCGCTTTGAGGCGGTCGTCTCTATTTCCCTACACTATCTATTATCATTGGACTGAACTGGTACTGGAGTAGGTCTCATTTACACTATCTTATTTTTTTCTTCTTCTTCTTCCTATTTCCAATCTTCCATCTTTTCCCGTCTTCTCTATATTTTCTTTTCTTTCTTTCCCTTTTTTTCCCGTTTCTGCACCTGCCCCGTGCCCCCTCAATAGATTGGAACAGGCTTTCTATGATTGTCAATAGATGTAGACAACCCCGGCTCTGCACCGATGAATCTCGAGGAGTGGATCTACATAGCGCAAGCCCTGTCTTAAAGTAAGTCGCAACCCACCCGTGGCGTCCAGCAATACGCACGGGGTCTTGCCTCTTATTGACAATTTCATTGCTTCCCCATTATTGTTGCAGCATTTCTACGGCAGCCCCCCTTTTCTGTCCAGTTTGTCAGAACCACGACCCCCGCAGGAGAGTAGAATTGATCGTCGAGCCGCGAAGTGCAGGGCATCAGGCGAACTTTGTCCCAATCGGGCTACGGTCCGAACTGCACTTCCGCCTTTATTGGGACGCCCTGGAGGGAGATGGGAGCCTTGATTGGCCCAACTCTGGCTGGGATCTAGTTTTCATGTCGATATGCATTTCGATCCTTTGAATTCTTTTATTCTTTTCTTATCTATTACCGCATATTGACTCTGGAGTGATCTGATTTTGATTGGAAGTTGAGGGTTCGTAGGATGCTTGGACTTTTGCGCGCCGCAGGGAATGCGGCTGCCTTGCTCGTCGGGCATTCGCTGTGCTGCTGCAACTGGCACCATGGCTTCTGACAGGGTTCCCCCCAAAGGATTAAGACCAGGTTAGAAATATGCAATGGGCTTGTACTACTTTCAGCACGCAATCCACTGCAGTCTCCATGTCACTGAAGTCTCTCCCTCCCCTCTGGTACCCTCCCCAGGCATTGAGGATCTGTCGGTACAGCTGGAGAGCAGCTCGATGACTCCTTGCAGTCGCTTTCTTCCGAGTGGGCCGGCACTTCCATCTGAAGCGGTTTGCTGTCATTTGCTGGCAAGCACCTCCGCCACTGTGCGGAATGGTAGTTTATTGTGCTGCTGTCTGCAAGGTCGATTCCTGTCGGGCTTAGCTTACCGTTCATTCACCCCCCTACTGCAGCTAAAGCTTGCTGCCCGTTTGGAGCTGATCCGTGGTTGGGAGAAGCTCTCGGCCATGGTCCGGCTGGTCATGGGTGCCAGATCCCCTATGGGTCTAGACGAAGAGACCGGCCAAATGAAATGCAAAAAGGGGAGCGATAACAAAAATTTACGCCTGCCATATTTCAAAATAATAAGAAAAAAACGATAAGAAAAAAAAATAAAAAAAGCAAAGGGGAAGAGCATAGAAAAAGGAAAGAAAATGGACCAAGAAGACACTGCCCATGGTTTCTGGTGAAGGGGTGCATGAGGCTACAAGCTTTTACTGATTGGGGAAAGTTGGGTAACGACCTCACCACTCACCACCCATTCATCCATTGATTTTCAGGTACAGCTGGTGACTCGCTTCGTATTTCCGCCAGCTCACGTCCTAAATATTAAGCCACTGGATTGATCTAAATGCGCTCGATCAGAGCTGTTCCGTGTTGCTCTCATTTCTCCCGCGCCAGGGAAGGGGGTTAGTGCAGTAGAAGGAGGCACTTCGGCAGTGTACGGATCCTCGATCTGGAGAAGGCAAAAGGACGCTGCATGGACTATGGGGCCAGCTAGTTTACATGCTAGCCCCGATAGCGTCCAGGTTTGCGGTTCTTCTGTTTGACTACTGCTGATCTAAATCTGACCTATCCATTTAGCGAGATGTTCCGAAGCACGCCACGGTGTGAACCACGATTTTAACCTGGGCTAGAAACACGATAAAAGATTAAGAGAGAGAGGAGCAGAGCCAAATGAAGGAACGGGGAAAATGGAGTGGAAGCCCGTTCAAGTGCGTGGCTGCTGGCCCAGATGGGAAATATCCTCCACCATGGCTTACGCATGGCCCCAGCGTACCCAAATAGGGTCCAGATCCCGATGTCAAAGATCAAATCCCGACGCCGCTAAAATGAGCCAAGCCAAACCATCCAGTTTTTGAAATCTCCTGCTCATCTCACCATTTGCTTGGTCACCTTTAATACTGTCCATTATACTTGTTGGCATACGCAAGACAAGCAAATCAGACAGCGTAGGACAGCGTATCAGGGTGCATTAGTATAAACAAACCCCCTATAGTTGGGTCAAGATATGTCTGTCAACAAGTTGATGTCAGGTCTTGCACTGACTGGTGCAGACGACTGCATTATCAGGTCTCCATCCATCCATCCCAGGCCGTCACGCCCAGAGGAAGCGGCACATTCCGGTCCCTTTCATTGGTGATGTTCGGTTAATCTCCATCACCGCGCGGGCCTGATCATTGCCGATTGGTTGCCTTTGGAGAGGACTTTTTTTCCCGCCGCAGTGGAAAGTTGGATGGATCGTCTTCGGGCCAGCCCATCCATCTGCCCTTCACCGTTTCGAACCATTCCGAAGTCACTAGTTCATTCTCCACAACCAGCTAGCTGCCTGCCTCGGCGTCGGCTGACTCCTTTCTTGCATTATTACTGCATTGGGTTGTGCAGACTCCCAACGCATGACAAGGCGGACGTTACTGTCTAGACTGTCTACGCTGCACGACTCGTGCCATTCGGGAGAAAGGGAAAGGGAAAGGCAGATGGATCATTTCATGCCCTTCAGATTTCGATCATGCTTGATGGGACCAATCATCGGCTGGTATCGGCGGGCACAGGAGGAATTTGCGATCGTAGGCGCATCTGGGCATGTGCACAGCGCGACTCGCATCAGTATCTAAAATTCTGGCCCAGTAGGTATGCCTTATCATGTAGATCTCAACAAAAAAAAAGAAAAAAAAAAAAAAAGGAAAAATGTGCTTTCGTAACATATCTTCGGATGGAGGGAGATCTCGGACTCGATCCGAGGAGGGCGGCTCGGGCTGGCCTTTGGGTCGAAATTCGTTTTGATTATTTCTGGTCCCCGAAGATTTTCGATCCCTTCCAAATGCTTCGCAGGATCTGTTTTGATGCCTGAGGCATGAATATTTTATGGCATCATAACTGCCTCAGGCGTACGTCACCTCTGCTCACGTGGGTGATTATATAATTACACGTGATATGAGTGTGGCAGACTGACTCTACACCGCCTTCCCTGGTGGATGTGGAGGCTGTCACATGATGTGGGGAAAGTCACGGGCACTGCATATCAAAGCAATCCATCAATAATCAATCATCAATTCAGCTAACCCCGGTGCCATTGCGCCCCAATCACCTCAATTAAACCATTTATCCATTAGCTAATTGCTAGACTGATTTTTCTCTCAATGGTCATTCAACCATGCGACGGTGACGCTAAAGAATGTCGTTGCGGGGCCCAATGAAGCGTTCGCACCTGCGGCAGGTGAGCGCCGCCAGTATCGACACGCTTTCCAGCTCGCGCACCGCCGAGCTTCCTCGTGGCACGCCCCGGGATCGCTCCTCCACTCCCGATGATAAGGCAGCCCGACTCTCATCCACCGGACTGGACCGCCGTCAATGCTCCCTCTGGGTCCATGATGAGACCTTCTCCAAGGAGGAGATCCTGTTCAACCAGGCCGCCTTCAGCGACACCGGCGTGCAAGTGGGCGATGTCATTGAGATATTGCCCGCGCGCTTTTCGGGCGATGCCCCCTATGCCGCTAAAGCAGACATGGGAGCCCGGTCGCTGCGCGAGAGTCATGTCGACCTGAACTCGTCGCTGCCGGCGAACCCCATGTCCAAGTTTAAGACTCCGTTACAGAGTCGATGTCTCTTCGTCGTCAAGCCGCTCCCACAGGAGATCAAGACCCGTCACCCGAAGCTCGAGTTATCGGTCACAAGCAGCGTCGCCAACATCTTCGGGTTCAAGAACCGCTCCGCGGTTCACATCTCCATCGTGGAGCGTGCGCAATGCTCAGCCTCTCATGTGGATATCTCCTTCCGCGATCAGTACCTGGTCCGTTCGGACATGTGGAGACTGGTCATGTCAGAGTTATCGGAGAAGATCGTCTACAAGGGCCAGAAGATCGTGTTCATGGGGAGTATCAAGGCCACGGTCAAGAATATCTTCATTCGGGGCAAGAAGGTCCTGTCGGGCTTCTTCTCTCCGCAGACTATTCCCGTCTTTCGAAGCGAATCCGCCAAATATGTCCTCTTCATTCAGATGTCGAGAGAGATGTGGGACTTTGACTCTGAAGGTACAGGGGATATTCTCTTTAGTAGGGTCATCAATGGCTTCCTGCCGGAGTTGTTCAAGCGCTGGGCCAATTCCGACGCGAGACATCTGGTCACCATTGTGTTGTTTACGCGCGTGGAATATGATCCGTCGGCCATTGGGCCCTCCTCTAGTCTTACATCAGAGAGTTTGCACAACAACTTCACGCCAAATGGTGCGCCAACTAGGGACTTTTACCGTGTGGTCGTAAATGATATGGCGAGTGGCCACTGGACCACCATTCTAGATGAGCTGAAGAAGGACTTTCGAACCTTTCTGAGGGACGTATCGATCCTCAAGACTACAGACGACATCAAAACGCCCACCATCGATGGGGTTAAGGTGGCCCCTCGAGCCCAATCTGCCATCATTGCGGGACGGCCCAGCACTGCGCTTCGCGGGAACATTCTCGAAGCAATTCATTTGGCATCTTCCCATCTGGCGTATGATCATATCGACCGCGACATGGTGCATACGGGAACATCGATCATCGTCATTACGCCAGGAAGTGGCGTCTTCGAGGTGTCATATGAGTCTCTAGCTTCCACAACGGAAGCACTGACGAATCGAGGTATTGCCATTGATTTGGTCTGCCTGAGTCCCATGCCGCTGCATTCCGTGCCACTGTTCAAATACCGCGAGCCGGCACAGAAAACACAGAGCCCTTCGTATGGAGGGGACATTCAGGACGGTGGCTATTCGCCTGAAATGCGTCTGTCGTTTGCAAGTCTAGCCAGCAGGGGCTCGCACCTCTCGCCAAAGTCGTTTCCTGGAATGGGCGCAAGACCCTGGTCTTCTCGACATAACGAATGGAACTACGGCATTCCTCACTGGCTTGACATTTCGTACTGGAACCCTGAAACGTACAGGGAGGCTCGCCGCATTCTGAAGAAGGATCCTAACGCTCCAATTCCGTTCACTGTCACCAAGCAGTCGAAGGTCTTCGTGCCGCGCGTGCGGATGTATGAGATCCAGATGATGGGGGTCATGGAGAGTGAACAGTCGAACATTTCGATTCCTTATCTACTTGAAGGACAGGGTATCTCAAGAAGGTCAAATCACGCGATGGCTTTGAGTCCCGCGAATATAAGCCCAGGAAATTTGCCTTTCAAGCGAAACTCGCCCTTCCGACATCAGCTGAGTGACAGCCTTCGACCCGAGCCATTTCTCCAGAACATAGCAAGCTCCAAAGATGCGATGTTGCCCAAGTCGCGAAAATCCTCGAAGTCGGTGGTTTCGTGGATGGACCAATATGACGAAGGAGTGTTCCATCCGTTTCCTAAGCGCCGTCAGCGCCCGAAACCGACGAAGCAAAAGCGACCCAGCGAGCCAGAAGTGCAAGTGTCAAATGCACACGATCGACTGTCCGCTCGGTCTGTGACTCGCTTGAGGGAAAATGAAACCAATTCGAACGAACGCGCCCAGACGACGTATTCCGCGCCCCGGAAGATTGACGCCACGCTCCCGGTCCCGAAAAAACCCGTTCCTACGCGAACGGTGTCTCCGAAGAAGCCTGCTTTAAAGACCTCTTCCAGCGCCCGAATCCCACGGATTTCGCGTACGATCAGCTTTGCTCTGCGGGGTCTGAGTGCCACTCCTCCCAGAGCTCAGGCGAGCACGGAAGTCAACGTCGAGCATGCTCGCGGGCAATCGACAGCAAACGTGAAGAAACCCTCGGGCATGTTTGCTGATACGCGAAGTGTGGACTCTCTCAGCATATCGGATTCTGCGTCCACGAAGACCGTGATCGATCTCTCGACGACACCAACTACGCCCCAGAAGCAATCTCATAATAGCTCAGCAATCACCCCCTCGCGGCCCATAGAGATCAAGGTTCCTCAAAAGCAACCATCCGAGGATGATACGGAGCAAGGCGACCGCCCTATCACCGAGTCATACTCAACCACAACAACTGAAATACCTATACCCGGTGAAGCTCGCCATGAAGGCCGGGCCAAAAGGCCGCATCCACGGGTGACGATCAATGGCAGCTCGCGGGACGCATCCAAGAGCGCGCCTTCCAAGGCTTTGGCGCCTTGGGTTCGGTCCATAAATCCCTGCAATACACCAAAAGACGTCTTACGAGACACCAGCTGGTTTGGGCGTTGGCAGCATGCGTATCCGAGGCCTCCACATGTAGCCGTCGTCAAGTGGAAGAGCTTGAAATCCCCTGCTATCCTGCCCTTGACTACGGAAGAGTTCCCAACGGCGACCGAGCTGGCGTCGGATTACTATCAAACTCCCTATCGCGTGTTCCCGAACGACGATGCGGAGGGTGTCGAGCCGCCGAAAACACGGGGCGTGCTTCTACGTGAAATGATATCGCTACGTCTATCTCATGGGTTCCAAATAGTCGTCGGCAAGAACGTTGTTGAAGTGTCGGGCCAGTATTCCCTCGAGGCACCCAACGTGTTCGATACCCGAAGCCTGGAACGAGACGGGGCAACTGTGTTCCTGTCGAAGGGCAACACGATCCATCGGCTCGTGTGTATCGACGAGGCTGAGATCGAAGTGACTCGATACACCCACAGAAACTCGGCCATGCTGGCGTCCCACAAGACCAACGACTTCACTATGTATTCACCAGCCATGCGCACGATCCTGAGCCCGGAATATGAAGTCAAAAATATCCAACTGGATCCAATACTGGAAGAATACAACTGGAACTACGCAGACAATTACGTGGCCGGACATCGCGAGTACCTCTTTAGCCCGGCTCAGCAGCTGCAATTCTGGCGGGCGCGTTATGTGCTGATCCCGATGCACTTGCAGGTCAACTCTCGCCGCCAACTGCAGTCATACAACGAAGACAATGAGGAAGAGATCCATCTGCTCGGCATCAATCAGCTCACGCATATCTGGCAGCGGCACAAGTACGTTCCGCCTGAGGAGAAGCTGTTCGACACAGCCCGCAAGAAGCGGGAGCAGAATCCTCTGAACATCATGTACCAGACACGAAATTCCTCTGAGGTCGTGGCAGCTGAACTGGATCGAATCATCCTTACAGACCCCGGCCTGGACAATTCTCCGGCCCAGCTGCTGCCGGAGTCGGAGCTGCTGGAGCGATCAAGCATTAGTCTGACAACGTTGGCACAACTGATCCAGGGCGAGAAGGGCGTCCGGATGATGGATCGACGGTGGCATTGGCGTCTGCACTACAATTGCTTCATCGGCTTCGAACTGACGACCTGGCTTCTCCAAAACTTCCGTGACATCGACAGCCGCGAGGAGGCAGTCGATTTCGGCAACGAGCTGCTGAAGCACGGCCTCTTCCAGCACGTAGAGCGGCGCCACAACTTCCGCGATGGCAACTACTTCTACCAAATCTGCAGCGAATACCGGGCCACTCGCCCAGAGTCTCGCGGCAGCTGGTTCCCTCAAATCCGGGCCGACAAGCCAGCTGCCTCGACACCAACCGGAGAGAACCCTCGCGACTCGCCCATCAGCCACTCGCGGTCAGAAAGTCTAGACGAGGCCGCTCAGCCGGCCCCAAACACACCATCAAAGGGGAAGAATAAGGCCACCATCATGCTATCCAAGACCATGAAATACGACGTCGATCCACGCAAACGATCAAACCGCCCAGAGGTCATCGACCTCCACTACGACCGCCTCCACAACCCCGACAATTGCTTCCACATCGAACTCAGTTGGATGAACACCACCGCCAAACTGATCGAAGACGCCGTCATCTCCTGGGCCTCAACGGCCGAGAAATTCGGTCTCAAACTCGTGCAAGTCCCCATCGCCGAAGCCTGCGCCATCGACGAAACCCAACCCTTCCGCAAACCCTACCGCGTCCAACTCAAACTTCCCCCTCCCAAGGGCCCCCTCCCATCCCTCTTCCAAGCATCAACCTCCTCCTCAACCACCCCAACCTCCCTTACCCAACCCTCCCCTCCAGACCGGCACTACTACCAAAAAGCCCTCCTCCGGCGCTTCGACTTCGTCCTCGACTTCGAAGCCCGCTCCGCCTTCCCCGCCGACGTCGAAGTCTCCTACTCCTGGGGCATCCCGGACTACCGCTACCCGCAATACATCCACCGATCCGGCAGCCTCCTCGTCCAAATCACCGACGACGGCGACTTCCTCTTCCTGGCCAACCGCCTCGTCAGCACCCGCGCCGCCGCCACCAGTCGCGACCGTCTCGACCGCGACCGCGACCCGCAGCAGCAACAGCACCGCACCCGCGCCGGCACCTACGACCCCGGCGATCGCGCCTCCCCGCGCCTCTCCCCGCTCACCCGTCCCACAATCCTCCCCATCCCCCACGACGTCAGCACCAGCATCACCAACAGCCCACGCCACTTCCCCGCCTCCACCGCCGCCGCCGCAGCTAGTCTCGACTCCTCGAACTTCTACCGCGCGCCGGAACACATCCTCACCAACTTCGAGGACTTCTGTCGGGACCCTATCCGTCTTGAACAGTTCTATAGCGAGTCGCATGTTCGTCCGACGAGTACGCGCGTCGAGCCTACGGCGTTGTTGGATACCGCTATCCCGTCGTTGGAGTTGCCCGCCAGTGTGGTCAGCCATCATCCGCATTTGGGAATCGCCCCGGGACCTGGGCTGATGAGTAGGGCGTCGCATAATGGGACGTTGCCGACGATTGAGTCGCGGGCGAGGGCGTCGAGGGATGAGGGGAGGAGTCCGAGAAGTGGAGCGTTGAGGCCGGTTATGTAGGATGTATGTATGTCTGTATGTATGTAATAAGGATGTTGTTGGTGGGATTGTTGGGGATGATGTGTGGATGGATGTATTGTGTAATCGTAATCTATGGCTAATTATGTTGAATGAATTATATGATTGATATAGCGTGTGTTTTCGTCGTGTATAGGGCGAGTATGGTGTGATGTGTTCCATTCCATTACTACTAATAAGTACGATAACTTCGAGGGCTGTATGACGGAGAGGCGGTAATTGCGCAAATGCGTGTGGTGAATATTGTTGTTGATCATAGTCGAACGGAAGGTGAAGATTCTCAGGATGGAGGTGTCAATGAAGTAAGTATTGAAATTTGTTATGTTATTCAGTAGTTATCTATAACTGATAGTTCTGACTTATCTACATAGTGAGATACAAGGTGAAGGAGGCAGGCATGGGTGCGGTCAAATGTATGCTTGGGCGAATGAGAAACTATAATCAACACATGGGTATCATGATGATATCAAAGCGCAAAAATGAAAACAAAACTGTATAAGGGCACCCCCCGGTAAAAACAGGGAGAAGAGAAAAGTAATAATGAATCCCAAACATAGACCGCCCCAACTACACAACAGGCCTACCACGCCTCTTCAACATCAAGGAGCCATTTACGAATGCCCTCGCGTAACGTGTTATCACCTCCTGTCTGTACTCGCCGGCGGTCCCGGTCTGTGGGCCCCAGTTCGCCTTCATCTTCTCGGCAGTGTTCCGCCGTTACACTGCGAACGACCTCGTCGAGTGCGCTTAAGACAAGTTTGCGACACTCGGTCCGAGGAACCTCCACTGGGCGCATCTCGTCCCGGCTCAGCACGTCTGACATATGCTTGTCCTCAGTGCGCCGAGTGCGCGTGGGCGACGGAGCCCGGGAGTGTACCATTGAAGAAGGGCCGCTCTGAGCGAGAACTCGTTCTAGAGCGTCTACCAGCGTGCCATCCAAATCCATCACGTGCTCTTCCACAAAGCGTTCTTCTACATCACTTGAGCCAAACCCATCAGATGAAGAACTAGCGGACGATTTGCTGGAAGCAGTAGCTTGAGAAAAGAAACTGGTCAGCTGCGACGCAGACGCCGAGCCGCCGGAGACATGACGAGGAGTGCCTGGTTGGGGAGAGAACGAAGGCGATGTGTTGCGCCAAGACGCACTCCCGACTTTACGACGTAGCCGCAGCCGCTTCACCGTGAAGGTTCGCACATCCGCAATGAGAGTGGTCGCAACATCAACCCATCGTCCGGATCCGTCCGCATCAAGACACGCGGCTTGGCTTGACATCGGTTCTGCTTGCATGGCACGCTTGATGTCAGCCTCGAGCCCATTATAGGGCCGGACCGCTTGAAGTAAGAAGTCATCATGGAAGCTCTTCAGCCAGCCAGCAACGTTCATGTTAGGTCCATCACTGTCTTTCAAGGTAGAGGGAAAGCCGGATGTGCTGCTGTGCGTAGACGCTACGGCGTCAACACTAGTAACCGACGTTCGTGTCTTCTTCGGTGATGCCATTGTGGAATCGCCAGATGAAGAAAGCGAGACGAACCCGGGCAAAGGAAGATCAACATCAACAATGCCATCATCGCCTCGGACCGACAACTTCAGCGACGACTCTCGTGCTTGGTCCGTAGCCGCAGCCTCATCCGGGGCATCGTCGTCTTCATATCCATGGTGGGTATTTGAAGCCTGCGGAATGGAAATGTGGTTGCTGGTTGCGCTTTTCGGGGAGACTTCGGTAGGTCCGAGCGATGCCTCTTTGACCATCTGACTCAGAGTGGGAGGAGGGCGCCTCGGAGGATTTGTGTACGCTGACACGGACCGTTTGCGGGTGTCAGTTGGTGCCACAGATTCGCTGTCACCAGTAGACGATTCCTGGCGGGCGTTCCACAGACCGGAGAATATGTTGCCCCATCGACCATTAGCAGATGGTACACTGCCATTCGCACTAGTGTTTGTGCTTTCGCTTCGTTGGAGACTCCTCAGTAGTGTTTCCGACGCGAGGCTGTCGGGCCCATCAGCCACTGCCTGGTCCGACCCTGCGCGCTCAGAGCGGCCTTGAGAAGCAAAGTGAGGGACCGGAACAGTACTACCAGGAGTGGTGGTTGATGTTGTCGCCGCACTCGTAGTCCTGGCGCGCATATCCTTGGCGTGAACGGGCACGCCTAATGCTCGAATGGAGCGAGCGTCGGATCCCCGGCGCATGGTAGTGAAGTCCGGTGTCACCGACGGCTCGGTCTCATCCGTGGAACGATGCGCCGTCTCGCACGACGAAACGCTCACGGACCGCTGGTGCTGTTCTCTTTCACTAAGAGTGAGGCGTTGTGCGCGAGATCGACGTTCCATCACTCTCCGCAGGGACTCCTGCCGCAGAACCGGGACATTTGGCGGGCTCTGAGAAATGGCCCTGGTGGAAGCCGCGGTGCCCGGCCTAATAGGGGAAGGGAGAGGCTCGAAACGCTGTTTCGGTGGAAGAAAGACTGCAAGTAGGAAAATAAGTCTCCGCGCCGTCATCTTGTCAGGCGATATAATGACAGTGCGGTGAGCAAGAAGCGGGTCAGAATCCTGCTGGGCTTTCTGCTGCAGATAATGCCTCCGTCGGTACCACTCGGGACCAAGGGCATTGAGCCACTCAGTATGGTTACCCAGGAAAGCTGTAATAAGAACAAGGAAGAAGAAGCTGTGGTCCTTATCTCCAATGCTGCGAATGATGGAGCGGCCTTCCTCACGCCACACACCCCACCGATTCTGGCCGGTTACGACGAATGGCATTTGCAACGCCGTGCTAATGCGACGGCTGCTGCGGATCGCTTCGTCTCGTAGCCTGGAATTTACGGCCAAGATATTCGCAGGCAGGTGGACAAATGTTTGGTTTGTTCGTTGCATGTTTGGGGGTTTAGCTGGCTTTGGATGCATGGCTGAAGAGGAATCTACCTTCTTCAGCAGAAAAAGGATTTCTCTTCGCGAAAGCCTCTCCAAGTGTGACAGGGTGCGGTTTATTACATCCCAATGATCAACCAGAAGATCAATGCGCTCATCCAGGCTCGCAGGTGGGCTTGCAAGGGACAAACTGTCATCGAGGAAACCCCCACGGAAACGGTAGTCCGAGTCCAAAGAGCACGACATTCCCGGTTTGGGAGAGTCCGGACCCTGGGCATTGAACCGTGAGGCCGGTCGCCCTGCGTTCCGAGAGAGGAGCGGAATCTGGATAGTAATTGCCACAGCATACATCGGTGTCTTTTTCTCCTTGATCTTCCGACGCTTCGTGACGTCTGGAAAAGGAAAACCGCTGTTCGGAAGTGAGTCTTGGTTCACAGAACCAGCCGCGTTCATGCCATCCGGAGACGTCTCACCACCTTCGGGTAGATGGACGCTGAACATTCTAGTCAGGAGTATCGTAACCTTTGCTGGCGGTCTGGACTCATTCCCGCGGCTGGTGCTTGTAAAGGCTGACTGACTTCCAGTTGTATACGCGCGCGACAGAGAGTTGCGGGTTGCAGGAGATGTAGGTGCAGTTTTGCCAGGTTCATCATCGGCAGAGATGATATGCATCTTCGTCGATGACCCCCTATAGCTAAACGCACTGCTGCCGAAAATACAATTTAAAAGACCGGTATCATTCGAGTCCGCAGCATAGCGAGGGTGGCTAGGTTCATGATAGCTTCCCACCGGCGATAGCGTGGAACTACGACCACGAGCCCTCATGAAAGCGCCAGACGACATGGGAGGTGACCTCCGTGCCTCCGCGGCCATAGAAAGTGGGCTTGGCTCCGCGGCTGACGACTGCGACAAGTAGCCCCGCCGTGGCCCACGGGTGAGATTCGAAACCGTACGGGCATGTCTCGCACCGGTGGTATTGTCGAACACCTGAGGTTCCAACCCAAGTCCCATAGAAGTCTGATCCTGCGAACTGGCGCGTGTGTCCAACAGGACACAAGCATCTCGATCTCCCAATGCATTTTGTGCAATTATCACCCGGAAATCCTTCAGCGGGTCCAACTCGACACCGCCGCGATCATCATAGGCACCAGCCGTAGAAGCGTTCGGGGAATTGTAGGCCGTATGCAGCGGATATGCGTGCGTATGGGAATGTCGGAGGAGACTAGCATCGGGGAATAGTAAGCCAGATGTATGTTCCTCCTCCGTGACGGATTCTAATTGGTGAGCGTTTTTGGCGTTGTAAGTCGCCGGATTTAGAGTAGCCGCGGCAGTGCTCAACAGTCGACCCAGCATGATGGCAATTCGAAATAAGGCAGGCCTGCAGGAAGTAAAGGCCAGTGAGAGAATGCTGATGAAGGAGGGGTCGAGCACTCGAGCCGAGAAGCAAACAAAAAAGAAACAATTAAGCTAGGAAATCAAGGCAAGAAACCAACACTCAGACAGATATACTAGAATGAGCTGCAGCACCCATCGTTCAATCCCGCCGAATGCCAACCATGATCAAGCCATCCAGAAGGAATGAACCGGGGGGGGGCCTTCTTTCACTGTGGAGGCCAGACACGCCCACTTGCAGGGGGGGATAAACAGTAATAGGAGTGGTAAGTGAAGCAAAGTAAGTAGTCGGAAAAGGAAGTGATAGTAGTGAACTAGTGGTAGTAGTGACTGCCCGTGTCCAGAAGGGGGTTAGTCAGCCGCCAAATGGGCCGGAAAGAATTAAGTCACTGGGGATGCAATCGAAGCCAATCGATCCAGATGAATTTAGAGCGACTTCCCACTGCGGAGGGAGACGCAAACAAGTGGGAATGAATTGGCAGGACCGGGGGGGGAGGGAAGGGAAGAGAAGAGGGAGGGAGGGAGGAGGAGGGGAATATTGGGGAAGAAACAGCGACGAGTTCCCGAAAGGGCGGTGAAGCTGGCCGTACCGCACATGATCTCAGCCTCATCTCATCGCGGCCGATCGCCTGCAACTTCACGGCCTTTTGGGCCTGTCAGCGCTCGACTGCCCCCCTGCACACGGCCCAATCCGTCACACAATCACCTCATGTTGCATGGGCTAGGCAGCGTTTGGGCGGGAATCTGCGCCAGTCGGGATTCCAACGCCCTTCAACCCAACTCTGATTCACCAGGATTTCCTCCGTGAATGCCGGATCTATACAATGTCTGTCATGACTCGCCTACGCCCGTCATGGGTTATACATGGTGGAATCAGGGGGGAAGTAGCTTGGACTAATGAGAGCCACAGCGATAGGTCGAATAATAATACGGCAAGCTACAGCGCAGGGGTACACAAGGAACAAACAACGACATTGCCGTCCAAATCATAGGCAGACGCTCAAAATCTCTCAAATTAAACACAAGAACCTTTTAGCCAATGGTATCTGCATCGTCATCCCAGTGATGACGCTTTCATGATAGCTGAGAAGTAGTAGGGGTAGTAGGTAGTCAACTAAATATAGTACAAGCCAATCAGTTGCGCTTGGTCTTTTGCTTCACCTTTTCGACCAGCTTCTTCAGATCATCCGATCCGCCCTCCTTGGACGCACTCTTCTTCTGCTTCTTCTTTTGTTCACGAGGAGCATCCTCCTCGTCTGCATGATCATCCCGATCCCTGCGTCGCTTGCGACCCTCCTCCAACAGAGCCTTCATACCCGAAGTCGCCTTGAATCGGGGGTTGGTGGGATCGATGGCGAACTCGTGGCTCTCGTAGAGTCGAGCGAAACGAGGATCGGTGACTTCCATCTCGAAGTCGTCTTTGGGAGCTTCAACTTGCTTGCCCTTACTCTTGCCCTTCTTGTTCTTCTTGCGAGCTTGTTTCTCCGCCTTTTCAATCTCGTTCATATCAAAGTGCTTGATGCCAGGCTTGTTGTTGTCGTCAATCATGAGCAGCTCCAGCTCCGCCCGCTTGGCTGCGGCCGCAGCTTCCTCCGCTGCACGCTCCTCCCGCTTCTTGCGCTTCTCTTCCTTACGACGAGCAGCAGCAGTAGCCTTGCCACTAGGGTCGTCGAAGAAGGGATCGTCAAAGCCCAAGTCGTCCTCCTGGGGCTGTTCCTTAGCATCCGAGGCATCAGCGGCATCATCCTCCTGCTCGCCATCCTCACCACGCTTGGTGGCCTTGAGCTTCTCCTTTCTGCGCTTCTTTCTCTCACGCTCCTTGCGAATGTACTTTTCGATCGTAGTCTCATCCTTCTCAGGCTCATTCTCGAAGATGCTGTCGCCCTTAGGGCCACCAGCCAGACCGGAAGTGAAGGTAACCTCCATCTCACCAACAGGACCATCGGACTTGGACGAAGGGGTAGGCTCCGCACCAAGACCAAGTAGAGCTCGGAGACGTTGCTTCTCTTCCTCCTTCTTAGACACCTTCTTTGTCTCCCCATCCCCGCGCGTAGTATCAACAATCTCCACACCACCCTCATCCTCCTCATCATCGGAGCTATCACTAGCCAGATAAGCCTTCAAGTCGTTCTCGTCGATATCCTTGCGACTACCCCGGAAGGCCCGAGCCTGAGCTTCCTTGCGCGACTTATCCTCCATATCCCAGGTCAGCTTGACCTTGCTGTGCTGCAGCGCATCGGTAACGAACTCGTTCGGCTGGTACCCATCGGGGATGCGTGTGCACTCGTCGCGGGGCGTATCGTCAGAGAAGTCAGTGTCCTCAGGCACAAAGCGGAGGTCGAAGAAGTTGGCGCTAGACAAGTACTCAGCACCATCGACTGAATCGTAGACGTGCTTTGCAACGTCCCTAGACGAGAAAGTCAAGATAGCATAGAAGTAACGCAGGCGCTCCAACTGATACTTCCGTAGCTGTGTCGAGTTGAACTCCTCGCCTTTATCCTCCTTCAGCATAGATTGCTTGATCTTCTCTTCCTCCTCATCAGAATCGAATTCATCCTCAGAGTCGGAGTAACCACCCTTCTTCGACGCAAAGATCTCCTTAGGCGGCCCCTCCGTCTCCTCCCTCTCCATCCTCTCCTTGCCAAACTCACTGGGATAAACAGCGACCTTCAACACCCTCCCACCAGTCGGCGCAAAACTGGAGAAGACAGCCATCAAATCCTCCGCGCGGATATTATCCCAATCCAAATTCACCACCGCAATGCGATCCGTAACATCCCCAGTAGGCACATCCGCCCGCTGCTTATCAGGATATTCCAGCTCCTCGCCGAAACCTTCGAACTCCTCTTCGTCCTCATCTTCCTCGTCGGAGCTCTCCTCCTCCGAGGATGAAGACTCGTCGAATCCTCCATCTCTCGCCGGGTCGTACGACTCTGCCTTTCTCAGCTCTCTAAGCACTTCCTCGTCATCTGCAACGCTGGCGTCTTCAAGACCATCGTCTTCCTCGTCCTCGCCTTCTTCTTCATCTTCCTCTCCCTCCTGCGCATCCTCGTCCAGCTGGTAGAATCGCTCGAGCTGTTTCTTGGTGTCGTCACTGGCGAGCTTCCGGCCGTACCTATCGACTGCGGCGTTGCGGGAGAAATCCTTGTCGCGCAACATGTGCGCAAAACGCTTGTCGAGCTTAACATGGGTTTGGCGTTTGCTGGGGAGACGGTAGCGAGGGTCGGTTTGGATGTTGGCGAATCTAGGGTCGGCTAGTTGCAGCAAAGAGAATAGATTAGTTATGTGTTACATTCTCGCTTTGAGAGATTAGAATGAATTGATGGTAAGGTACGTACTGATCACCGAGCCGGAATCATTTTTGGCGGCGCCGGCCTTCTTGCCTTTCTTTTTGTGGTCAGGCATGGTGGCACGCCTGTCGGCAATGAAGTTTTATTCAAATAGGAATGTATAGCATAAGTAGTTCGTCACCCTCTGGTAATAGAAGAAGAGTGGATCGTCTGGTTAAGGTGATTGCTGAAAAAGTGATGATCATGGATAATTTTCTGGCGGCGGAACCAAAGATTCTTCGGCGAGCCTTGGATGTGGTCCGTGCGTTTCTCCGAAGGTTCAGGTTAACTCCGTCGTCTGATTTAGTGGCTACACATGCTCAAATTGTGTTATATAGATTTTTTTCTCATTATATCATGTATATGTAGTGAGATGCATATATATAGGCCTTTTTCACAGCTCATATACTCCACGCTTAGACCCTTACCGTGACTCAACAGCCGAAATATCTCTTTTCAATCCACCGAGGTTCGCGCTCTTCCTCAATGCGACCAACTATAACCTTAATTCCAGGGAACACTGTGGTCAGTCGCTTCAGTCCGATCTTGCCTGCAGCGCAGGTCACGAAAATAATCTTGTCCTCTTGGACACCGTGGTCAATCATAACACGGACCGCCATTAGAGCAGCACCTCCACTGGACATCTGAGGGTCGAGGAGCATGACGTTCTCGTGGTTCTCAATATTGGGAGGGAGCTTAAGGTAGTGAAGCTCGGGTTCTTCGTTCTTTTCATTGGTTTGGATCAGCACACGACCGGTGATGCAGTCAGGTATGGTGCGCTTGAGCGCGGTCTCGAGGCAAGAGCCTCCGCGAAGAATTGCGACGGCAGACACTACACCAGCTTGGTTCAAGCCCTCATAGCTAGTCGATTGAGGTGTATCCACTGCTTGTGATACATAGTTGGTCATATCCAAAGCCCTGTGCAGTAAACAACATGTAAGCTACGATTTGACAAAGCCACGCGATGTGCGCAAAGTACAACGATGCCCAGGCTAACTCACTTCTCGATCAGTAAAGCGGCAAGGCGGTCGAAGTAGAACACAAAGTCAACTTGTTCCGTTGCCGGGTCCTGGAGGATGGTGTTCATGCCAACAAATTGCGGTGTTTGAGGCATCATCAAGACGTTAGAAGATAATTGCTCTTCCGAGGCGATGAGACCAAGTCGGTTGAGCTCTGCATTATGCTTCTCTGACTTCTCATCAAGCTTGCGCTGAATATGTTGCACAACCATTTCTTGAGCCGAAGTTAGTGTGTTGATCCAAGGGAGAAGGAGCAGATACTCTTACCAATGGCAGTTCGGTTTTCGATACCACGGGGAATGATGATGTCTGGAGCTTGTCAGACCTGATACAGCTTATAGAGAAATCGTACATACCAGACACAGCTCGTTGGGGTTCAACGTATTGCTTGTATGAGGGCTTCACATAAGTGAACCACTGCTTGACAATTCCTTCGACGTCTCTTCCTCTTTCGCGAACATCGCGCATGACTAGCTTCCTCTCCATTAGAGCAGTACCAAACGGTTGAGTAGTAGGATAAACTGACTTCTGCGCCCAAGACAGACATCCATGTCTGCTTCAACAAAGATCTAGTGGATAACATGAGCGACGGTTCGGATCTAAAGGACGGGCGGAACTTACCTTGACATCTAAAAGCTCCATGATCCTCGGGTCATGCAAGGCCAAAATACCCTCCAGGATCAATACGCGAGGGGAATACAGGGTACTCGTTTCAGGCTGACGCTGGTGTTCTGCAAACGAGTAAATGGGGATATCTGCTTTCTTTCTAGATAGGTTGAAGAAACCCTGTCAGCTTCCATATATTCCATATATGGCACGTGCCCCACCAGAAACTACAACAAGAGACTCATAGATCGTACCCTTGCTTCAAATCCCTTAGCGTTTGTACCAGGACATCAAAGTCCAGAGACTCCGGGCAGTCAAAATCATATTGATTGCGGTGGGCTCTGGCATGATCCTCTGGGGACAAGCTCTTGTAGAAGGAGTCCTATACCACACCGCCGTTAGAGAACACGAAGTGGAAGGATTTATTAGGCTAAACAATTATGAAAGCGGTCGCATATACCATTACGAGAATCACAACCCAGGGAAGATTCAGGGACTTCACAATCTCCATGGCCACCGAGGTCTTGCCGGAGCCGGAGCTGCCTGCGATACCGATAATACTCAAATCCGCCCATGGTGGAGAGTAGCGCCTGTCTGTCGCGGACGAGTATACAGGGGAGATTGACTGCATCTTGCCGACCCTCACCGAAGAACTGACCTGCCGAAACGAAGGGGACTAATGACAGGCCGGCCTGATCATAACCGGGGGGAACAAAAGCAAAATTCAGTTAGGACGACCAGCAGCAAAGAAGCGCCGGCGACACAAGCTTTGGAACCGATAAGAGAGACTTCGGCGATACACTCCAATTCCAAAAGGGACCAAGTGATCGGCGCTTGCCCCAATTGGGACTAGGCGGGGCCGTGACCTTCGCTTGCGGCTTTAGGCTTTTGCTGGTGAACGTGACCTAACACCCGCCGCTTTTTCTTCCTTTAAATAGAGCTCTTCCTTCCCGCCGTTTCTTTTTCTTCTTCTCTCTTCTTCTCTTCACTCACTCTTTTGCCCCGAGCATCCTAATGGCTCCCGTCTGCGAAGCTTTCCATCTTCACAGACGGCCTCTTGCTCGCTACCAGGTCACTTGACATCCTACTGCGAAATTCCGCATCCACTAAGCTCTTCACCATGTCCTCTGCCAATTACGTATGCGTCCTGACATGCCGTGTGTGCCGCGTGGTTGCCTGGTTTTAACAGGAAGCAGATGTCTCCCTCTTCCTCGACGACGCCAACATGGCATCAGTTCGAACGGAAGGTCGAGGAGGTGAAACCATCCAAAACGTGAGTGATTTACCCCACCTTTCCGTCGCGCGCCACGATAGCATGATGTACCTTGAAATCAAGTTGGGAATCTCTCTGAAAAACAACTGAGGAGAATATATTGACTTGTGTTTCTGAACCCTTCGTTTGACTTTGCCTTGTCATCTACAAATTTGCCAGATGGACTTCAAATGCTGACTGTCCTCTTAAAGTGATATCAATTATCTAGTCATGGATTACCTAATCACCAACGGCTACCCAGCTGCTGCGAAGAAATTCGCACTAGAGGCCAACATCCAACCCACAGCAGATATCGAGTCGATTCAGGAAAGAGTTGACATTCGTACTGCAATCCATTCTGGGAATATCCAAGTTGCCATTGAGAAGATCAATGAGCTCAACCCACAGGTAAGACACTCCTCCTATCTCATCCCCTTCCCACCCACCCATGTTGCAAGGATTATATGACGTTTCATGCACCACTCAGAACATCCCTTTTGGGGTTTGTTGATAAACAAACATCTTCAGTCCTCAGTATGAGCAGCAAGACATAATCATGCCGTTACTTGTCATCACATTCATTTCAAAGCATTTTGCTGACTTGACCGGCTTAGATCCTAGATGAAAATGCCCCTTTACATTTCGCCTTGCTGCGACTGCAGCTAGTGGAGTTGATTCGCTCATGCACCTCTTCCCCCGATGGCGACATTAGCCCTGCCCTTGAGTTTGCGACCTCGCAACTCGCACCGCGGGCACCCACCAACCCACAGTTCCTTGAGGATCTTGAGAGGACTCTTGCGCTCTTGATCTTCCCGATGGATAGCCTGTCCCCGTCACTTGCCCCTTTACTACACCCCGACCTTCGTAAGGACATAGCCAACCGCGTCAACGAAGCCATCCTGCTGAATCAAGGCGCTCGTAAAGAGGCCCGGCTACGCAACCTGGTCAAATTGCGCGCGTGGGCCGAACAGAAAGCCCGGGAGGCTAAGAAGGATATACCCGAGAAGCTGGACCTCGGACTGGGCGATAACCCCAACACCCACAACAGTAATCCCATGGCCAGTTCGACCAGTGCTACCCACAATGGCTCTAACGACACCGTAATGACCAATGATGGGGATATCGACCCCATGATCTCATAAATCCAGGATTCGATCTGCGATCACCTGGTACATAATATTTCTATTTCACGTATCACCACACGAATTTCTTCGTTCACCATTTGAGCACGGCGTTTGGGTGCAGGCTACCAGCAGGTGTCAAATTCAACGGCCCTCTTGTAACATCTACGGTTCAATATGGGGATACATAACATATCATGACTTAGCATTTGATCTCTGCCGACAGTTTTGTGTGCGGAACGGATTGAATTTTAGCAATCGAAACAGACCCAACAGGTTCTTCAATTGGCTTATTCGTATCACACCCATGGTTACCTAGTAATTAACCACGTTGCAGTTGCCTACCCTGCAGCAATGTCAAGCTATGGGTTAGGGCCGGAACAAATCAACTGCATACCACCATGATTGGATATGCTAAACAATCGCTACACTGTCAACCGTATATAGTTGACAGCACGGTACTTTTGTTTACTCAGAAGCAGTCAATTGTAGATTTCTATTCAGGGAAGCCTCGAAAGGCTCCCATCCGCTGTCTCTAGCCTTCCGTGGCATATACTACGCAGGTATAAGGAGCCCCATGAAGCGCCGTGTACATCAGAGTTGACTTTGTTCTGTTCCACAAATCGGACAATATCAATTAAATCCTATGCTAGGAACGAATCTGCTGGCTTCATCCGTAGATGGACTTGCCGACAACTGCCAGTAGAACCAAAGAAATATATATATGATCGACCGAACAGTCTATAAACGGTATGGTCTTAATCCAGGACTACTGCTACTGGGAGGAAAAGCAGTTTAATTACTACTGGTACCATTCAACTCTGTCACTACATCACTATTCAAATTCTTTTCAGATATATTATAGTAGTAGTAGTAGCAGCAATTCTCTCCCAGGAAGAAAACTGGCCCGTATTCTCAGAGAGTGAATATCAACTGTTCAGATAATACTAATAATCTCTTTCGAGGATTTCCTTAGAATTCCGAATAACATGCACAACATGGCATCAACCCCATCATAAGCAACCGCAGTATACTGCAACAGCTGAATACAAACTAAGAACGCTGCAAAAATACCTTGGGAACATCAACCATCTTCGACCGCAGAAACTCGCACGTATTCTTCCCCAGAACATCACTACTCGAAGACGAGTTATACCCCCGATCAAGATGATCATGAAGCAGGAAATGCACCACTCTTACGCCAGGGATCTCGAATCGGTCGATTTGGTTCCCTGAATACTCAATCGGTCCAAGCAGCTCCTTGATCTTGTCCGTCGTAAGGAATGTCCTAAGCCAATCCCATTCATCTTGGTGTTTCACGTAAAAGCCCACATTGCAGTTGGCTCCTTTGTCGCCAGCTCTACCATAGACGACCGAGCCCAGGGGGGCTTTGACTGTCTCTCCGAAGGCGGAGATGTCAACGGGGTTTTCTGTTTCGTGGGAGGGCTGGGTGCCGTATGTTTGGGTCACGCTGGGTGGGTCGATTGTGATGACTTTCTTAGAATCGGCCGCGAGGAGATGTACTCTATGCTTTAGGACAGATCGGGGAATGAGTCCCGTGTTATAGTTGTAGTATGGCTTTGCGTGGACTTGTCGGGGGTCGTTGCTGGGGGTTAGGGCCTATAAGGTCTTAGCCACAGGAAGACTAGTGATAAAGTAGGATGACCAACCGGACAACTAGAAAGAAACGTCGACATGCACCATCTGAACAAACCTCTAGGCACATCTGTCCGCAAGATCTCCGGGTCTTTAGTCTGCGCAAAGACACGGAACATCACCGTGGCATGATCCTGACAGGTAGTGTCGAGGGACGGGGACCCAATACGATGGAATCTCAGTTGAGTGAACCGGTGGATATCCTCACCGATTGCCTCTCGGATCTGTTCTTCAGTCCACTTGCACTTCTCGTCAATATCAAGACCTGTCATGAAAGCATGAAACTCGGCCTGATATCCTCCGAAAGTGGTGAACCCTAGTTTGGTCGTCGGGGGAGGTGGCATGCCCACAATGCCTGTTACCCGGACTTGTTCTGGGGCAATTTGTTCCAGCTTCACTCCTGTCAGGTCAGCAACGACGTCGGAGTTGAGATACCATGGGCCTTGGATTTCATATATGAGTTGCGATGTCAAGGATTCGACTGTCACGCATCCTCCGGTGTTTTTCTCTTTGGCGATTGTGAAGTCTCCGTTGGCTTCGATCTCTGCGATGGGAAATCCGAGGCTGAGATGCTTTCCTGCTTTCAGGAGCGACTTGAATCCGGTGAAGTTACCGCCTTTGAGGTGTTAGTTGAATCCTGCATGGAGGCAGAAAATGATGCTGGACATACCAGTGGCATACCCAGAGCATTCGATAAGATGACCAGCAATCAAAGCTCGCGCAAGTTCATCATAGTTGTTCTCAGACCACCCATGCCACCACCTGCAGATGTGTCAGAACCGAAATATCATGATCAGTCTGGAAAGAATAATCTCGACTGTGAAAAACTTACGCTGCAACACCAACCACCGGAGAAGCATCCGAGACTCGCCCACAAATGACAATATCCGCACCTTCAGCCAGAGCCTTCGCAATACCCCATCCGCCAAGATAACACTGCGCAAATACAAAATTGGGGTCAACCTCAGACAGCGACTTACCCGAAAGTCGAATGGGGTAGTTTTCGTCGCCCTTCTTCCTTTGCTCTAGCAGAACATCCGTCACATCGTCACCTTCAATCCACGCAAGGCGCAGATGACCATGCCCACTCCGCTGGACCAACTTCTGACACTCAATTGCAAGGAGCTCTGTATCTGAAGCACCCGCATTGACCACGAGCTTCATCCCATGAGCGCTTAGGTCTGCGATGGCAGGCTCAAAGCATTGCAGGAACTCTTAAGCATAGGCGCCCTTTGAGCGATTCTGCTCGTTCTCTTCCGTGAGATCTCGCGCCTTGATCGCTGCCGTTCCAACCATATTGGATTCGGATAGCCAGTCTCCGATGATAGCATCGATGCTGGGGTCACTGGCAAAGGACTTGATTGCATCCCAGCGATCGGTGTTTCCTCCGGCACAGCCGGCGATCCGGACTGGTCTGCTGGTAGGTCCTCGTGTCATGTTATTGAATGTAGTATATCAAGATTGGTAGAAGGGAAATGATCCAAGTTAATGGGGTATTGTTTCTGCTGTGCGGATGAGATTAGATGAGATGTGATTAGATACATCTTCCTTTTTATCTGGGAAAGCGTCCGGCTATTGACTCACCTACATCCTTTCAAGAATCAACCCCGTCAGCATTGTGACCTATTTGCGCTCCCTTTCTTTTCCTTCCCTCGGAGTATCACAGCATGTATGCATGTTTAGCTGATCTTGTGGCAAAAATGGTGCGATCGGATCGAGTCGCACGGCATCTCGACTTTGAAGTTTTCAGCTCCCTGGAGTCTGCGGTGCAACCCCCCTATTTTAGCTTCGCAGCATGCATGCATAACTTAATCTAATCTGGGGCAAATATGGTGTAGCCAGGTAGTATTGCAGATATAGTGCTCCGCACCTTTTATCGATCTCCCCTCTCTTCATTACCAGAAATGCTGTTAGCTCCATCGACAGCACCGGTGCGTGATTAGTATACTTGCTTGCAGTAGATAACCCAGAATAGTAAATTGAAAGGTAACATCGCGTAGAGTACTATATGCACAATAACGACAAGGGATTTCAGCTGAAGATCTGCACCTTCAACTAAACTAACCTAGATCTTGTGGCCAGGTCCAATTGGCAGCATTACTAATGTAACTTACGAGATACGTACAGCAATCCCATGTAGTACTAGCCCTGTCGTTCCATCTCCACGGCAGTAGCCAGCTCATTCAAATCCGCGAATTTCCACAAAAAGGCAACCTTCTCCCTCAGATCCTGCAAGGTCCCTCCCATCCCCTTCTGACCCTCCTTCCCTCTCGTAATCCACGCCGACGTGATGCCCAGCTCCTTAGCAGGAACATGATCATTCACTAAACTTTGCGCCACATGCAAGACCTCCCCCTCCTGGACTCCAAAGTCTGCATGCAGACGCGAGAACATGTATGCAAAGTTGCGATGATCGGGCTTGTACGACCCGATGTCTTCCGCGGTATAGACCGCATCGAAATTGACCCCTTCCAGTGGTCCTTGCAGAGTCCTGCCAAAGGACACGTTGTCGACATTGGAAAGGATCACCAAGCGAAAGTGCCGCCCCAGACGCTGTAGTGCATCACGAGTATCGGGGAATGCCTCCCAATTCTGGATGCTCGATGCAAATCTCTCGGCCTCGAGCGAGGTGCTGCTGGGATCGCGGTCGCCGGTGCTGCCCCTCAGGGACTGCGCAAGCGCAATGTACGCTTGTTGGAGCAGTTGACTGTACAGTAGGGTTGGTTGTGTTTTGAAGATCTGCGCTTTGATCTTTTGGAAAATAGAGAGGATCTCAGGGGTGGATGATTCCAGCGGATGTGTGTCTGGGAGTTGCGGGAGAAGTGGTTGAAGGGCTTGGATGAAGCCGCTTTCCCAGTCTACCAGAGTGCCGTAGCAGTCAAAGGAGAGAACACGAAAGTCGGACAGCGCGGAAGCCTTTTCCGATCCCTTGATGTCAGCCATGTTGATTTCTTTTCTTTTTTTCGTTTTCGTGTTCAGCTTGAATATTGGGTGGCGAGCCAGGTTGAGAGGGGTTACTTACCCCTCTTTATGCTCAGGAACAATCTCGCTTGCGTCTTCTTCCTGGTGCATTAGTCTATTTCTTCATAGATTCAGGTCAGACCCCGAGGTCTAAGCTCATCCAGCTAGCCACCTTGCACCCCACCTGTGTCTCGGAGTAGCATTGCAACCTGCATGTAGCTGAAACTAATCAGGAGGCTTGATTGGATATCCTCTGCAGTACCGTGGCAATTCTGCAACTACCCTAGTAGGTCAGCTTGAGGGACTCATAGCTACAGGTCTCGAGTCGTACGCAATGAACAGACAACACTTCAACGAATGCTGACGAGACCTTCCTCCCCGTGGTCTTGCTTTCCTTTCCTCAGCAGCTTTTACCTAATTGCTATTGCTAATGAGGAAATGAATGAAGATGTCGCGATTCAGCCTTTGTCCTACCACCTCCCTGCTGATTCCGTGAGCTGCGGGTGTGAATGAGGGTTATAAAAGGGCCCTATGCTATCAGCAACATTGTTTGGAATGAGAACAACTCTCGTGTTATCATTGAACCAATTCCAAGGAAGTTGGAAGACTCCTCGAGGCGTGTATCCATGAAGGGTTCTTCTATCTTGACATGACAGATGGAGAGGAAAACCCTGCTGTTCTCCAAAAGGTGGATGAAATGTATGTCTTCATGCGCGAGTGGTTTGGTCAACCTGATGAGGTGAAGCAAGAAGTACTGTCGTCCAACTATACAGATGGGTAAGCACCACGATACTATGTCAAGGAATCATTGACTGACATGTTCTTCCCACTTTTTAGGTACAAGCCAACTGGAATCTTTGCGGGTGTCCGTGAGAATACCAGAGACGCTTATGAGACCTTGAAGGTATTTCAAGGTTTCTCTCCTATTAATTCTCAATATCTAATGCCCAGACGCAACAGGTATCTCACATGGGTATCAAAAAAGGAGCAACAAACCCCCCACCATACCTCCAAGTCCGCAAAGGAATGTTCGAGTCCTATCTAGAAGCATGCAACCAAATCGCCCTCCGCCTCCTAATCTGCCTATCCTCCCACCTAGGCCTCGACAAATCCGAAGTCCTCGAGAACTTCCACCAAGACAAGGAAGACTCCAACTCAACCCTCGTCCTCCTCAAATACCCATACCAAGAGCCCAATCTCGAATCCCATCAGATCGGACACATCAAGCACACCGATATCGGCAGTATCACCGTCCTCTTCACCGACCAATGGGGCCTACAGGTTCTATCCGCCGCAGACCAGGGTCAAAAAGAAGAACAGTGGAAGTTCGTCGAACCCCGTCGCGGATGCGCCGTGATCAACGTTGGTGATTCTCTGCGGTTCCTTTCGCAGAAGAAGCTACGCTCTTGTTTCCACCGTGTGGTCCCTGCAAAGGGACAGACGGTTGATCGGTATACCATTGCGTATTTCTTGCGGCCGTCAAACAGTGCCACGTTTGTAGATAGCAATGGGGAGTTGGTGACGGCGAACAAATTGGCATGATAGGAAGTATGAGGTTTTCAAGGCGACGCATGCGGATCAGAGGAAGGATACGATTTTGACGGGGGGGTTGGAGCCGATATCTATTTGAATACCTGGACTATCGAAAAACTAATTCATGACACTGCAATTATGCTTTGTTTCTTATTTTAAGAGCTTTATGTACACAAGCAGACAAAAAGCTATATAAAAACATACTCAAACCGCACAGCAGCATGTTAGTTTCTAGTCATGAACGAACGAAAAGTACTCAACACCTCAAAATGGTAATTTACCAGAGCATACATAGCATATTATTCCACGAGCTCAAGCTGCGTTAACTCAAGCTGCATTGCATTATGCAAAGCTTTGAAGTATGTGTGTGGGTGCCATTATACCCCACAGTCGCACATATCTCTACAGCATTTTTCCACATAGAGATCCGCAGCGACACCGCTCAAATAAGCATCACAGTACTTATAGGCGATATAATTATCCGGGAACTACTGCACGTTATTCTACAGATGAGAAGTGGTGGACAGAAAATGGAAATACTAAGTTTTTATGTAGACGTTAAGATAGTCAAAGTGGTATCTGAGAGGAAAAAGGAATGAAGGACAGCCACAGCCCCCGGGAGTGGCTCAGCTTGGGAACCATCTACTCCGTAATACTATCTTTTTGTATAGTGCATTTCATCATAGAGTACTAAGATACGACACAGGAAACCCAAGATATGAATATGAAAATGGAGTTGCATAGATAATACCTACATATATCGTAGCAAACATCACCATCAGCGACGCAACGATACTAGCAATGCTGACATGATATAGACCATCTAGTTGAGCACTATGCGTACATTTGGAACACGTTAGATATATTAATCTTATTGGGATATTGTGCACAACTCTTCAAACCATGATGCCATGAATATCTTGGTCTGCGTCGGCCCCGGGGCATGGCTGCAACGGCAGCAATGAACAAGACAGTTGCAAGGATAGATAAGAACTCAATATTGAGAGGGGATAGCAGCCATAATAGTGTAGTAAAAGAGGATTCAACTACCTTACGGCCGTATTGATCTGAAAACAAATGCTTGAACGAGATGAAGTCTGGGAAGATAATTTTCTAATGGTGAATCAGAATTACCCATCCTTTCTTGGATACTTAAAAGAAGCTACTCCTATACTTGCACTCCCAATCTATTATATACGATAGCGGGAAGGTAGTACTGTCCCACAGTAGAAGCAAAATAATATTGAGAAGTGATAGAACGCATGCAGTCTACTGCAAACCTCTCTTTCTGGAAAGCCCCTTTGCTTCATAAGCATCAATTACATATCTCCAATTGATACAGGAGTAGTTCATATTACACTACGATTCTTTTGGTACTTGCATCTCTTCTTATCGCAAAGCTTTGAGGTCATGTAAAAAGACGTCTTCGTTATCAGGGAAGCCTTCAGAGTCCTAGCTGGTTGAAACACAACTTTCTCCACAGAAAACAACCAGTGTTTAAATGTAGATACTGCCTCAGCTAACTTCACGTCGAGAGTTTCTATAGTCTGCTAGTAACTTATAGTGAAATAATCCATCAAGAACACCCGCATTGCTGCTCACAGCATTCCTCTGGAGTTAAGCCACTAATTTGGGAAGCGGTGTTACAGAACCCGCAACAGACTGTGGCTTCATCATCTGGACACTACGCAAATAGCATTAGTTGTGGCTCAAGCAAAGGGAGGCCAATCAACAATTAAATGGATGACCACTTGAAAGAAATGGATTGAAGAAAAGGAGATGTCAAGGGTTTCTTATATAAGAATTAGAGGAGTGGAGAAGAAAGGAGTCCATACGGCTCTCTTGACAACTTCGCTGTTCCGGGCTTCGACCTTGTTATTCAAGGGCGTGGCGGCTGCAGCTGCAACTAGAAAGACAAGGGACAGGATGGAGGGGAGCTTCATGTTGTAGATAGATTGGTTGATTTTGGTAGTAAGAAAGATCTTCAGTGTTCCGAAAGTGTTCCTGTGGCTTGCGAAAGAGGGACAAAGTTCAACTCCTTCATACACAATGGTGGGGAAATAAGTTATCTAATTGTGACTAGAATGACTGGTGAGAAGTACTGCTACTGGCTGCCATCTAGCTGGTAAATGATCCCTTGCTGAACCGCATTTACCCAGAATGGAAGTCCCGAAAAAGAAGGAAGCAAACTAGACGGGAGCTGAACTGAGACACGGCCAATCAATGGATATTACACAGAGGGAATAAACATAGCACTCTCTGTTGTGTTTAACCCCTTCCAGTTATGCTGCTAGGGACCACCGTATGACTCTCAAGTGGCCTGGATCACGGGCAAGACACAAGCCACCAACCAACAGACGCTTGTTGCGCGAGTAATAAGAAAGAAAGGCAATATAATATCGCCATCAAACACTTTTCCTTCCTCACGAGCAAGTAAAGACTGGATATGGGGTTGCGGGAGTGCCCTGGCGGGCTAACTGGACCCTATAATGTTATCATCACTCTCAGAGGACGTGCGTGATATCCCTTGCCTTGCCAATGAATACATTAAAAACTGGCTAAGATGATCTAGAATAAGAGGCAATGGTAAGTGAATGACTGTACGAGTAGGAGTAAGATGACTGTCAAGGGACCTGATTGCTAAACTAGACGGGATAATACGTACAGAGAAGCCCGAGTTACTGCCATACTTGCGTGTCCTTGCATTCATGAGATCCTCCATCTGTGTATCATGTTTCATGCAGTATATTATAACAGCCCCTAGAAAAATCCTGTGGAAGAGGCTCTTCAAAGACAAGCTCATAAGGAATGCGCGTATTGAGCCTGATGGCTCAGACTTTAGCCTAGCCGGGAGGAAGTGGCCCCGTCCCTGACAGCAATAGACATACTTGAAGCAGCTGAGATACCCATTTGCTTATAACCTAAACTCCAATACAAACCCCCAATGTCATGTCTTTGCATTTGCAAGACAACACAGGAAAACTCTAATCCAATAGAGACAAAACCCATGCCAAGACATAAGCAGGAGAAGTAGCAGCATACAAATAGTGACAATCTAGAGTGCTAGATCCAACACAGTCCTTCTTCACAAGCTATATAAGAAACACAACATGAAGTCTATCCAGCACCATACCACTATAAGTAGTAGTGAAGTAACTACCAGTAGTTCCCTAACACATACAAGTCGTGTGGCATCGAGCGTCGTTTCCAAGAATGGCGCCGCAAAGACTAGCACCCTCAAGTGCCTTCTTCTCATCTGGGGCAAATGGACACTAGTATATAAACATCAGTGTCCATATGTCAAGTGATAGTAAGAGTATATGATACTACTATATAGTAGTATATATATAGATTCTTGTACTGAATTGGAAGGTGGAGGGGATGGGTTCCGTACCTTCCGATCCTGTCCTGTCTGGGGCAGGGGTGAGGCTGCCACAGCGGTAATGAGAAGAGCAGTAGAGATAAATCCAGTAAAGCTTTATGTTGATTGTTTGATGGAGTCGAATAGACTTTATTGATGGGTTTCTGTTGTATAATTTTGAGAGGGGTGTTCAGAGAAAGGATGAGATGTGGGAAGATAATCGTACAACAAGGGGAGAATGATCCCTTCTGTTATAGATGGTAGAAGCCCTATTGAGCTACTATTACTACTTTTGTATCTCTGGCTATGGCTATCAAAACGGCAGACAGGTCTAGTGAATCTTTGAGGGCACACAAGGTACACAAGAAAAGGCAACTGTTCCAAAACAGGGAATAGTACGGTAATGAGACACACACGTGATTGATGGAATATGCAGGCAGACTTCATCATTACAAATGAACGCCGCTTCATTCGAAACGTGCAGTGCTACACTGGGTTGCTTACTATCTATTCAGATTACAGAAGCTAAAAGCTCACTGTGTTTGCGTTGCTGCTGCGTTGGAGGTATCGGGCTTTGGCTTGAAAGATAGTAGTCCAAATAAAGTATTCTACTCTTCCAAAGGCATCTACATCTTGTGATCAGGTCTCATATCCAAAAGCTACTGGTGATTAGACACGCTACCCAGTCCTAAAGTGATAGCAAGGTCAAAACCAATCAGGATAACATGATTAAAATCTGCACAAGGCCCAAGTGAGATTAGAGAGCGGGGTGTGATACCACGGAATAAGCAATATAACTTTGCTATCCAATCACCCTCGCACAAGACTCAATAAGAAAGACCGGGGAGGGTGTGAAGCCCTGAAGCCGGCGCATTAGTTTCAATCAGTTGAACAGTTTATATACTGAGGTATTAAACCCATGACATCAGCTTCATAAAATTGATACTCCGCCGGACTATACAACACCATCAGCCGATAAGGTTTCCGGCTGCATGACTTCTAGTTAACTAGTACTAGTATGCAAGAACCCCTCTCACGAAAGAGTACATCCACAATTCTGCTGACAGCAAGATTCAGGTTTAAACTGGCCATAAGCACCCAGGAAACCCGATGCCGCAGCACTAGCGCATTCACCATAGCAGAACTCCGAGCGATAGTCCGGACACTATATGCATGTTAGTGAGAAGTGAATCCAAGAAGAGAGATAAGAAGTATTTGACTGGAAGTCTTTGATACATACACTGAGCTTAGCAGTTTGATCGCTATTGTCGCTCAGCGGGATGGCCGCTACAGCAGCCACAAGGAGGGCAGTAGGGAGGATGGAGAAGAGTTTCATGGTGGGTTGAGGTATGATTGGTTGGTTTAAGGTTCTCGTAATTCAGTAGATGTAGGTTATAATGGGGTTGGGAGGTTTGATTAGGGTTGAATACTACAACTTTATGTTGGGGAAAAAGGTTCTCCTTTATATAGTTGGGCAAGAATCTATCTTTTTGGTCTGAAAACCAGGATATCATTGTTCTCGTTACCCAAATAAGTGGGAATCAGCCGTTGTAGGCTATCATGACTCGTATATACCAGTCCAAGTACGAGAAAGAAAAAGCAATGAAGATAAACTCGGAGTGTAGATGTTCCGAGTTGATTCCCCGCGTGGCAGGTGGAGAGATTATCAAAGGGTGAGATAAGAGAGGAGAAAAAGGAATATGCTTAATGGAAAAAGCAGACCCCGCATGAATGCATGGACGATGGATCTTTGGTGATCTCATATGCAGGTAAGTGCGGAGATGAATCAACGTCTTCATGCTAAATCTACGATGTAGTGGTTAGAGCATGAAATTTGTCACTAGATCCGGATAGGCTTGAGCAGTGACACTCAATGCTATATAAGAAAAAGAAATATTCTGTTATTTACTAAGTAGCTATTCATAGGGCATAAGTAGAAGATATAGAAATAGTGGTAGTTTGATGACTGAAGGCCATGATAATATATGACCCTCAGTCCGGTGACAGCAATCCATCAGGATATCAAATGCGCATCACCGCTGAAGATGGACATAAGGAAAGCACATTTAAAAGCTCATGAGATCTAAACAACCCATTAGCAATTTGATACTATAAAGAAGAAAGAAAGGATAGAATTGAGGGAATAAACAACTTACCTCTTCCAAACAACGACCGCTTGGCCCAATCCATGGCCAACATACACCTCGTTCTAAAGCTGACACTCTCAGCAAAGTAAACACTGCGCCAGAGGTACATCGCCAGGACACCACCGCTAAAGTTCAAACCGCCAAAGTCGAAGATAGCAGCGTTACTGATGTATGCCAGACTTCCCAGATGCTTATACTTGAAAGCCTTGTAGCATGCCTCGTCCAGATCACCATAGTCAATCTGGTTGGCCTGCATACCCGGCAATGCAGCCGCAATCTTAGTCAGCTTGCGGCCCAGGTACTCGCCCTGCTGGTTCGCGCGCTGCGCAGTAGCAGGCAGGGAAGTGAGCTTCGTGTCGATCTGGTGCAGGAGTTCGGAGAGTTCGCCGAACTCAAGAGTACCGGACTGGTCCTTGTCGTATTGCTCGAAGAGCTTGTCCAGACGGCGGAGGTGGTTCGAGGCTTGAGGGAAACGCTTGCGGATGCGAGTTGCTACTTCGCGCCATTCGCGGAAGGTCAGGTGCAGCTTCTCGGGGTCCTTGCCCTTCTCCCAGGCGATGGTGCGCAGGAAAGACATGATGTTGCCGGCGAGGTTGTTCTGGACGGTGGAGCAGTCGCCAATGGCGTAGACGTCACCGAGGGGTGCGCCGATGAGACGAAGGTGAGAGTCGGTTTCGAGGGCGTGCTTGTTGTTCTGGGATTCAAGCTTGTCGGAGAGGCGCTTGCAGAGGTCGGCACGGGCTGGTTAAAGGTGTGAGTGTTTCTGTAAAATAAGTGAGAGGTGGAGTTACGTACCGACACCCGTAGACCACAGGCAGAAGCCCATGGGGATCTCCTTCAGGATGCGCTTGCCGTCTTCCTCTTGCGTGAAGAGGACACGGTCGTCGCGGACCTCCGCCACTCTGGCATTCGTCAATACATCGACGTGATCGCGAGCGAAACGGGACTGTGTGGTCGGTCAGTTCTGATGACTCCTGGATTGACAAATGGGGACACTGGACTGACCTCAGCATAGCGAGAGAGAGCCTCATCGTAGGTGTTCAGAATGTGACTACGGCTCTGGATAATGTGCACGGAGATCTCGTTCCGAAGGATCTTAGGGAAGGAGTAAAGAAGGTCCTCGTTGAGCAGATCGAACAGCTCCGCGGCGAACTCAACACCCGTCGGGCCTCCACCGCAAACAACAAAGGACAAGAGACGCTTGCGCTCGTCATCACTAGTCGTCGGCAGGCAGGCAAGTTCCATGTTCTCCAAAACCTTGTTCTTAATCTTCCGGGCATCGTCGATCGACTTCAGGAAGTGGCAGTTGTCGAGTCCCTTAACGCCGTGAGGGTTGGTAACACAACCTATAGAATCGGAGAATTAGTTTCACGGAATATAACTCCAACGGAAGAAAAATAAGTTTCGAACGTACCAACACCGATTACTAGCTTATCATAAGGCAAATAGAACCTCTGTTCCTTGCCATTGGCATCAAGTTGAGACACCTCGACCAACTTCTCGGAAAAGTCAACGTCCTGCGCCTCACCCTTGAGGAAATGTCCGTGCACCCGCTGCACGATCCGACGAACTGGCTCAACAAGCGACCTCAATCCCAAAGTTCCCACAGTCGCAGACGGCAACATCGGAGTGAACAGGAAGTAGTTGGTAGGGGACACGACCGTGACATGGTAGTCGCCAGGGTTGAGATGCTTCAGAAGCGCGATGCTACCCCAACCGGTACCCAGGATGACCAGACGGGGCTTGTCCTTCTGCCCCAGCTTAGCCTCCGAATCACTATCTCCAAGCAAGACCTCCGCGATGGGGAGGTTCTTAGGTCCACCGCGCCGGGGATTTAGCGCCAATTCCGAAACGGGAATATCTTCCGCACTCGAGTGTTCGCGGTAGGTGGATGCATCGTAGATGAAGAACGCCACGACGGCAGCACCGCTCATGACAATGAAGCCGCCGCAGTAGGCAAAGGACTTGAAAATGGCATTGCGGAAGGAGGACCTCCGAGGAGGTTCGCTGGCTTCAGGGATTGTAGAGTTATGCCGGACGGTGTATTGCGGGTTGAAAAAGGCACGCGACGCCAAGCATTGAGCTGTCGCGGTGCGATGAGGTAACCGGGTTCGGGAGGCAGCGAGGCCTGCTGATGCTGGAGACTTCGAAGACTGATAGCGACGAGATAGAAGGGCTATTCTTTTCAAGGCATGAGGGTCCGGACGACTCCGGAGCAGCGCCGCGCTCATGGCGTCTAAGCTGACAGGAGGAACGAGCGGTCACTGCGAAGGGGCCCGGCTGGAGACAATCGACCCGCGAAGAGACTCAATGGCACGGGAAAGAGGAAAGGAGGAAAGTAACAAGGAAGGATGACACCAAAGTGGCCGTGGAAAAGAACAGCGAAAGAGACACACCGACTGCGAGAAGAAGAGGGAAGATTCAAGGAGGAAGAACAACACTTTGAAACCACTGCACCTCGACGTCATCTGGCCAAGCCCACTTGGACCCGCTCGGCCTGCAGGGCCCGGCTTGGCGCCATTTGCTCGATCGGAAAAGTTATACAGAATTAGGTAGTTTTACACCATTTTATTTTTGTTTGTTCTCATTGTTTGTTTATTTAATTTCATCTAGTTACTAGGCATATGGTATTGTCTTAAAGATATGGTCATCTCATCACACATAGGAAAGAAAGAATATAATAATAATAATGTCAGTACGCCTCCCACCCACCGTTGTAAGTAATACCTCGTCGGCATTCCGAACGCCAGTCCCGATCCCATAAATGCATCCTCTTGGGTAGATAAGTAGATAATAGACAGCCAAAAAATACACGGGTCATGGTGCCAACCCGATCAACGGTCCCGGCACCTCTTCTAATTCCAGTCCGACTCTTCTGCTCCTGGCTCCGTACTGGCCCGTTTCTTGCCAGAGCCAGGCTTTCGGCCCCGGGGACGCTTGACAGGACTCTGTCCGGACATGGAGTTCTTGCGCTTCCCCGGCCGGGGTCCACCAGCTGTGCCCCAACCGGCTGCCGGGTCATCCATGTCGGTGGCCGCGTCCAGATTGTCCCCCTCGGCATCTTCATCACCTCCAACCTTGAATTCGTCGTCGATGTTAAGCAAAGTTGCAAACTCGCGGCACTTATCGATCATGCTCTGCTCGCTGCTCAAGGCGTTCATATTCCGAGCGATGGCATCCCAAAACTTGTCACCAGTCACGCCGTGGACCTTCGTGGCTGACTTGCTGAGCTCCTTCGATGCAGCTTTGGCCTCTTTGACGCGTGCGTTCGCTGTGACACCATATAAGCGGCGGAGATAGGTCCGTGCTTCCCAGAGCATGGAAAGGGATGCAGCAGCAGTAGCCAAAAGCCGCAGGGTAGCGGGATTATACTGCTGCAAGGGTGCCAAATTTTCTGAACCCTCTGGTGCAGGAGCAGGCATTCCCTCCACGGTAGTGGGCTCCGCCTTAGCAGTAAAGATGTCGGTCTCAATCGAGTGGGCGACAACTGTCCCAGTCGCAGACACAATGCGTTCCATGCAGCCGATTGTCGGTACGAGTTCGGCAAGTTGGTTGTAATCGAAGAACGCGAGGTTCTGCGCCACAAACCGCGATAGTAAGAGATGCTCGGGCGGGTCACCAGTGGCTTCAAGCTTTTTCAGTTCAAAATCAACTTTCGAGCACAAGTTCGAGAGAAACTTTCTCTGGTAGCGACTGTTGCTGATTTTAATGATATCAAACAGCGGCGCAAGTTTGGCAATGTAGGGGCGGCTTGATGCACCACTGGGATCTCCGACGACATCGCGCTGGTAGTAGAAAGCTTCCTGAACAGCACGCATGTATTCTCTTTCGAACATCGACTCGTACTGCTGGTGAAGCATCTTGTGAGTATCAAACGCAACCTTTGCAATCGCTGGAACAGTTGATGTCTCCAACGAGACAAGGACGCCAGCACATTCCTTAGGGTGAACCAGTCCTTGACGGTTGATACTAGCAATCAGCTCAATGGCAGTCAGAGCGTACGAGTCTTGCCGCGATTGTGCAACTCGAAGCATGCTCCGCAGAAAGTGCTGAGCAATCAAAGCAGCGGCACCGTCGTTGTCGCTGGCCTTCAAAGACCCTCCTAATCGCGTGGCGCTCTCTTGCTCGGCGATCTCAGCAGCAGGTAGCACAGTCTTCTCGGCCTTGCCTTCGTGCATTGCGAAAAATTCCGAGAATGACCTCAGCACAATGTTTTGCAGACTCGGGTTATCTTCCTTGAATACCATGGACAGGATCTGTCTTGGGCTATCACGACTGAACTGGCCTGGCCAGGACTGGCAAATGGATCCCAAACTCTCCAGTGACATGACTCTCAGTTCAAGCGGTTGTTTCTGAACGGTGAAGGGTATAATGGCATCCACCATTAGACCAGCCACTGAACCCCCGCCCCACGATGGAAAAGCATTCTTGAAATGCGGCTCGTACTTTTCAAGATCGCAGTGTCTGCCAACACAGCCTGCAATGCGAATGTAGCTTTTGGCTCTGGCTAAGACTGCCGCGTTTGCACTATCCGAAAGATCTATGTTTTTGTAGTGCTGTATCGGTTTCAGTACGGAAATGGTTAGCTTTACCAGCCGGTCAGTATTGTGCAGAACTCCGTTGATAGTCCAGAGGCACGCCATCACTTCATTCAGCTCTGAGCGAGCAAGCTTGGCAACGCTTTTAAACAGGTCGTTTTGCACCTCTCTCAACAGAGTATTGTGGGCGGACGACAAATATGGCAATACACATCGGTAGATGACCACCACAGAGCGGAAAAGGAAAAGATCCTCCGCCGTGGCCAAGTGTCCAATGTAAGGATGCAAAGTCTCCAGTTGGTCAGGCCGGAACAACTTTGCGTTGGCCTTTGCAAAAACGGTGATTGTCTGCAAAAGCGCTTGCTGGAATTCCTTCGTCGAATCGGTACCTTCGACCAGCTTTTCGAACATTGTAGAGACCATTGCTTTGCATACTTTGAAGTTCAAAGACGCTGTCTTGGAGGTTTCGGATAGAACCTTCTTGAGACAGTTGTTCAAGGTGTCGAGCGCTGTTTCACTTCGCTGAACCAGGCTGACTATGAGTGTCACCCTCTCATCAAGACCGACCTTTAGTTTCGGGCCATCCTGAGCAGAGTCGATGAGTCCGTGGAAGGGAGTGAGCCAGATTTCCTCGAATGTTTGTCGCGCCAAAGTCGCCACACTATCTTCCAAGTCGCCCGTACGTTGCAGAAAGCTATCCATGATCGCAAGCTTCAGCTCAGTACGCGACGTATTGAGGTAGATATCCTTCAACAGTCCGATGCAGCGCTTCCGTACACCGGCAGTCGGATCAGCGGCGCAGGTCAAGATAGCCCGACAACCGTCCTCTTCCAGCTTCGGCTTCAATGCAATGCATTTTGCGATCAAGGACAACGCGGAATCGCGGACCATTGGAGATGCATCAGTGGCGCAGCGGAGAATTACCCGCATGACCGAAGCATCTCTATCGAGAAGACTTGGATCCTTCTCGAGCATGTAGATTACACTCTTCAAGCTACGACTCCGGACTTTGGCCTGGTCACTCGCAATCGAGTTGAGCAAAACTTTAAGGATAGTGTCGAAAGCCTTGCAGAACCCTGAGTTCAAGACAGTCAGGATGTATGCGAACTTGCCATGTGCCGTAGGCACGGTATTGAATTGCCTAGAAACGAATCAGTAAGGTGCCCTGAGCCTCAATGAAACGTACTCACCTGTGCGTCTCGAGCCATAATGGGTCAGAGAAAAGATTGGAGAAGAGTGAAACCAGGTCTTCGGTCGCGTCGTCGTACATGACTTCGTCCTTGTCTTCAGAGTTGTAGTAAACGGAACAGAAGGTTTTGGACCACTGGGTAAGATAAAATCCACGAGCACTAGCAAGCTGCCAGTTGTCTACACTGCGGTCTTGAATGAAATACTCGAGCGTCATCCGATAAGGGCCTTCGGCGACAACGAGGTCTTGTGGATGCAAAGCGCGGCTCGAATACTCTTCGAACAGCTGTTTTAGGGATTCGCCGAGATCGCTATCAGACTCCTCCATGGCGGGTAGCAGGTGTTGAGCAGTCACTATAAGATCAGAGATGGCAGAGCCCATCCATCCCAGAAGCTCAAGAGCCATGCTTTTCGCTGTCGCAGAGCTTTTGTCCTGTTCGGCGATGCCAACCATGTGAGAGGCCATAATACGAAGAAGCAATTCCGCAGCCGGCCAATCTGTGGAACCTAGGACGCTGATCAAGTCCTCGGTAAAAAGGTCGAAAATATTTCGATAAGGCTGATCGCCAGTTTTGGTAGATGTCATCGCTCGTTGAACGATGAATTTAACAATGTACTGGGCACTGCGTACTGCGTTATCATGTAGACGGTTAACCTTCGTTGCAAGCTGCTCCATGGACATGTTCGGCTGGTCATCATCTACTCCCTGGCTATCACCAAGCACTTCGTCATCGTCCTCATCGTCGGCCGATCCAGGTGGCTTGCGCCTCATTCGAGACGCCCTTGAGTTGGGAACGTCCAAAGCCGTCGTCTGCACCAGTTGCATGACCAATGCAGTCAGAAGTTGAATATTCTTGCCGTCAGCAAGTTTGAACTGCCTGGCACTCTGCCGGGTAGATGGAAGCTTTTCGAGTGATACAAGGATTTCGTCTAGGATGTATGGGCGCTGGGCGGGATACTTGGAGAAAATCTTGGCCAGTACATCCATGGCTCCACGTCGAACCGACTCGTATTTTTGGACACCGACAGTAGAGTCCTTCTCCGTGTGAGAGTTCTCGACGAATATTAACTTAGCTGCGAAGAACTCTGCGGCGGTGACTGTTCCTTCTGAGACGTCAATCCGCGAGAGGAAATCTGCGAAGAGAGCAAGTACTTTTTTGCTTTGCTGGATTAAGGAACCAAGAACCCGTTTCTGAGCAGAGAAGAACTCAAAATACTTCGCATCCTTGCCTCCAGGACGTGCCTGGACAGCCGGGATGATACAGTGATCAAAGACTTGGTTAAAAACATTCGGTATGGCTTCAATCAAATCCTCTGGACAAAGATCTCGTTCCGTCTGGGTCCCAGACATGGTTTGTAGAAGACTCCCAATAGCAAGAAGAGCATTTTGCATGTCATCCAATTTTCTTAACCAATCCTGTGTTTCAGACTCATTCGAGGGATCGTCTATTCTCAGATCCGGCGATTGGGCAGCAATGATTGGCTTTTCACAAAGCTTCTGGATCCTATTAAGATAGTCTGATGGGATATCCTGGAGTCGATTGTACCCAACCACTTTCTTGATTGCCTTCTGTAGCCGCGTATGGGCATCGGACGAAAGGATAGGTCCGTTCACCTCGAGTGCATGAGGTGTAGTAAAAACCACGTTTGTCTGTTCGGCAGCCGCACCGGAGGATGTACTAGGGTCGAGCTGATCCTCCGACTCGAAGATCTCATGAAGCATGTCCTGCAATTTGACTAGGGCAGCATCTGCCTCTTCCTTTTGGTCTTTCAGTCGGATGGCCGTAAGATTCTCGCCCCCATCAGCATTAAGCTTTCTCTTCTTCGACATGCCGTGTTCGTCTATGTGGTGTATGTGGTGTGGCAGTGGTTTGACGGGGATGACTACCGACAGTTCACTTGTCTGTTGACTCGGTCGGGAGGAGGGTGTGGGTGCAGGTCTATGTGCGACGGAAGGTTGCTTTTCGTTAAAGGAAGTGGGCTTTTGCGGCGGTTCTATATCATCAGGCGTAGGATCTGTACATTGTCAGTTCACTTCTGAAGCCCCTGTGAAGCGATAAGCCCTACATCGAAAAGCAATATCCGTAGCGTCCAACATCATCTTCGCAAATGAGCCAAGCTTGTTGCTGCTGGCGACATGGTCGTTGGCCGCTGTCGAAGGCGATTGCTGAGCGCTAATCGAGCTTGTCGGCAGCTTGAACTTGCTACCGGAATAGGTGAGCATATGATATAAGAATGAAGCATTAATGAGGCTCACAATTCGGTCAACTGATCACCATCCAACAACTGCTGCAAGTATTCCCGAGATGTCTCCAAGCGATTCGACTCATCCCGTCCCGATTGGATTTCGCCATTGAGTTGAGTTAATGCTGTACGGCCGGACTGGAGGATGTGATTAATGGAGGTCGTATTGGGGGGTCGACCGACGTCCGGGCGTAGGATGCAATCTTAAGGAGACAAGTCAATCAATTAGTTAAAGTTCACTTTTTTCACAGAAAGGGTTTATCTCAGTCTGACCTAAACCGAAGATCGGTGAGCTGGACATGGGAGAGTATTGCAACGCCTCCTCCACAGCCAACGGCCTTTGCCAGCGGCGAGCCTGCCCGCTGGGAGCATGAGCTTGCGCTTGAGGATGGCCGTTGATGACGACCTGAACGGCCGGATGCCAGTTTTGAGCCATGGCGGCGGGTATCCCTACTGGGAAGCTAAAGATGGGTTGAAAGAAGATCTATGACGGTAGCTTAGACATGCCCTCCTCAGAGACATGGCTATGGGAGCAAGGAGAATGAGAGACCACCCCCGATAAACGCCTGATCATCCAAAGATCTCCATGGCAAACCAATGCAATAATTAATGCCAGGCACGGTTCTCTTGCCGCTGCCGCGCCTCACCGCCCGGCACTAATGGCGCGCTGGACCTTCGAAAATTGGCCCGTGCTGGAGCCCTTTCTTTCCGCCGCCATCCAAAGAATTCAAGGCGGGAAAGGTAAAAAAAAAAAAGTGAAGGATCATTTATTCGTCTTCAATTGTCCGGTTGATCTGGTATTTTTTTGTCACAAACCCACATTTTTCAATATGTCTGCGATCGGAACTCTCGTCTTCTGCACTGACTGCGGCTCTCTACTGGAGGGTTCAATTGGTGATCCGACTAAGATTCTTGTCTGCGATGTCTGCGGAGCTAGGAATAAAGGTAGGTTTGCCTTGTTGGTATTCTAAGTTACAAAGTCGCATTCACTGACCTTGTCCCCTTTCACCTCGCTATTCAGACACCGTTCCCCAGACCATTGTCTCCGAGTCCAAGCCGAGCGCATTCCCGTCTGCTTTGAGAGCGAAAAGATCTGCGGTCCAGACCTTGACGGCGTCAGACAGAAGAACCGAAGCCCTTACTCAACATACTTGCATCAAGTGTGGAAGGAAAGAGATGTACTACACCACCGTACAACTGCGTAGTGCAGATGAAGGTAGTACGGTGTTTTACACATGTGTTTGTGGTCACAAGTATGCAATCTACCAGCCCTTCCCTTTCCCATACCCTATACTAATCTTCCATTACACAGGGAATCGACGAACAACTAAACGGCAAAAGACCTGGTGTCTATCTTTTTTTGGGAATTCTCAATTGTACATCTATGAGTCATGAAAGCAACTATTTACCGGCATTGTAGACTTTTTGTTCGCATAATTCATCAAGCAGACACGGCAGCAGGGGCACCAGAGTCCGGCACCAGCGCATACTCCATCTCTCCGTTCTTCTCAAACTCGGCCATATCAAGAGCCACGATAATGCTGTCCCGGACAACCTGCTCGGGGTCGTTCAGGAACTTCTTCAGGGTATCCTCGACACCATCAACGTCACCCAAGCTACCGAGGGCCTCGGCAGCTTCGTGGCGCACCATACCTTCTTCTTCTTGGTTGCTCAGACACTCGGTGAGACTAGGGACGGAGGCGGGGTGGCAGAGCTGACCGAAAACGAATGCGACCTCGTGGCGGAACAGCGCAGAGGGGTCCTTGAGACCCTTGGCGAGCGCATCGACGGCCTGAACGGCGGTGGGCAGATCAGGAGGTGAGGCGAGGTCACGCAGGGCAAACATGGCACGGTATCTTTGGAAGAGAGGGAGCTTGGTGTCCAGCAATGTCTTCTCCAACTCAGGAATAGAGGGTTCGGCGGCATCCAGGGGCATTGGCGGGGCGGGGTCGATGGAGGTGAAGTCACTATAAGATATAGAAGCACTTGATTAGCATGCAATCCGAATGACTTGGCTGCGACAAAGAAAAGTAAGGTCATACCTAGGCTTCAGCTTCTCAGCCTTCCTGGCTTCGGAGTTCTCCCACACGATACGGTCCACAGCGATGTCGCAAGTCTCCCTAATGACCTCGGGCTCATTCGCATCATCCTTCAGCGCCTTCAGAATCTCCAAACTGTCCTCATATCCCAAAGCACCCAGGGCCTCAGCGGCCTCATGACGGCACATAACATCCTCCTCCTTATCCTTCAGAACCTGCTGAAGGTACGCGACAGCGTCAGGGTTACGAGTCTGACCAAGACAGTAGGCAAGTTCATGCTTCAACAAAGCCGACTTGGAGGAGAAAGCAGCAGCGATGGCCTCAATAGCCGGAAGGGTGTCCTCAGAGGGGGGCTGCAGGCAGGCCAGGTACTTGAGGGAAAAGAGGGCCCGGAAGCGGCGCGCGAGGGGCTCGGACTCGTTGACAATAACCTTGCGGAGGGTGAGGACAGTTTCACTCACGCCCTCCAGGTTGTTCTCGTTGACAGCAGACATGATAAGGAAAAAAAAAAAAAAAATTATTGATTAAGGAGTGTTTCTAGTTTGCACAATTTCACGAGATCCAGCGAGACAAAACGAGGGGCAAGAAGGGGAGAAGAGGAGGAGGACCTTTCAGGCATGGACGACGATAGGTAAATTTTCGATCTTATCACGTCCCGATAATAAATTTTAGGTGGGGGCGGCGGGGTTCCAAACCGCCGTGGCTGGGCGCCTTTTGCTTTGTAAATCTCTCTTACAGAGTACTATGCTCGGTCTCTTTTGCCGGATTTGTTCCTGCCGGGATGGTGTTCATCGAACGATATTTTTGAACTTTGTCTTCTTTGAGAAAGTGGGAGTGTGAGGAAACATTTTAGTATATATAGTCTAGTTGACAGTCACAAGGCATTGCCTTTTGTAAATATTCATCGCACAATTCCGAGCAGACCGTTATTTCCATCCTCTTTTCTCCAGACCGCCGAAGGCTAATTCGAGTCATTGCGGAAAGGGCAAAAAGAATGATCCACTTGCTGCGTGCCTGGATAGTACTACTTACTACTCATCTGCTACCCGGTGAACTTCCGTTCTTCCCTCGTGCCTTCAGAGGATTTAGCCTTATCTGTGTGAGGTTTGGGTTGTGAGGTGTGTTGCTTAATGTAGAAATTCAGTAGTCATTTTTCCTTTTAAGATGCCACTTAGACTAGTACATCAAAACCACCCAACTACTACTAATCATTACTCGTAGCAGTTCATGGCATAGTATCGAATCATTCATATCATGGAGGGACTGCGTTATATTGTTAACATTGTAGTACTGATGATGGTCATTCTATAGTGTTCAAATCTCTCGGTTATTCATCTCGTAGGAAGTACTAGTAGCTCGCCTGTATATATAAAGGGTCACTCCTCAGTGGGCTAACACCATTCGTACTAAGTAGAGTAAAGAGTGGCATACCAAAGTGACATTTATTCTACTAGTCCCTTGACCATTACTAGCTATGCTAGTGTAATGGAATTCTGAAAATGAAGTGCCATGGATAGAGCCTCAACTTTCCGTACTGTAACGCCCTTGCTTCGGTAAAGGTCCATCGAAGACTGAGCATGGATATCGACATTTGCTACCAATGCCTCTTGTGATACCTGGCACAAAGCGAGCTATTTTCTAGAATGCACTGGTAACTAGCGCAAGCGTTTTCTGAATGCTTTTCGAGTTTCTCAAGAGTCGCTTGGCGCTATACTCGATATATGAACTCAATGGTGCACGCCGGCAGTCAGAAGATCCACCAGGTCATGTCAATAAAAGTTTGCAGTAGCGAAAAAATGTGTAACATTTAGGAAAGTTAATTTATCACCTAGCACAACCCAGAACTTAAACAAAGACCTGCACTTATGTACATGACACACGAGAAACCCAAATCATTTAGTCTTGATGTACTTGAGCTTCTTCGGTTCGTGGACGAAGTTGTTAGCGTAGGCCTTGGGGACGAAGCGACGCTCATTCGGCTCCTGAACGAAGTACTCGTATCCCTGCTTCTGGGCGAACAGAATGGCATCCTCCTTGCTCTTGAAGTTCAGGTGGGTACCCTGCATGCAATCAGCAGAGGATTGCCAGCCCATGAGGGGGTTCTCCCAGCGATGACCCCTCTGCAGGATATCCCAATCCATTCTCCAGTGGTGACCGTGCCAGGTTCCGGACTGTGTTGCGGGCTTCGCTTGACGGTAGATCCTGTATTATCACTGAATCAGCGCGACTGATACGGGTGGGCGACAGATATCGTTTATGGAGCTTCATACCGGACAGTACGGGCCTGCAGGTCGGTGGGAGCGCCGGACAGAACAGCGGCAGCAACAGTGGCACCAGGCTCACTGCCATCCATGACGCGCTTGGGCACAGGGGAGAATTGACTGATTTCGATTGGTCAGTTTAGCCACTCCAATTGTAGCGCGAGGTGGGGTATTTCGTACGAGGTGCCGTGATCAATGGTGGCATCGTAATCGGGCTGATGACGGGTCATAGCCTCAGAAGGGCTCTCCTTGCGGATCAAGGTGCTCTCGGTGTGAGGAACAGTCGGGGCATCAGAAGTGCTGGATGTGCGGGAAGGGTCGCCTCGACCGGTGCCTGTGGACACAAAACGCGCATTGACGGGGGCGGCGAGCCTGCCCGTGCGAAGGCAGGCGAATCTTCCTGCTCTGGCAAGCGACATGATGGCGAGGTTGTGCTTGGAGGAGTGGAGAGAGCAAGGTGCTGCGGTAGAGCAATTGCAAGTTGAGGTATGCGGCGAGTGCCGGCCTTCAGACGAGTCCGAAAGCGGTTTAGCGCGACTCGAATGAGCCTCCCTGCGTCGAACCGCTCTTCCGACAACCCGCTTTCTCGTTGGCACTTCTTCCTTCTCTCCGTCATTATCCATTGTCCTAGTTCACCTGCTAGCGTCAAGGTAAGTTGGTTATTCCCTGAGTGACGCTCTGTATTTTGCCTCTCTCTTTTCATTGATCCGACAATTTTCTGACTTAGGGTCGCACAGATCCTACAAGATGAGCTACATCGCCCGCCGCGGTCTCTCGACCTTGATCCCTCCCAAGGTAAGAAACAACCGATACAACCACAAGAATATGTCTTAATTCAGTGCTAATTGACGTTTAGATCGCTTCCCCCAACGTGAGAACCCCTACCTTCATCATCCCCGTCCCTGCCTAGACGTTACCGCCCGGAGCAATCTCTTTCGTGCTTTACCTCGGGAACTCAACAAAACGCGCGTTATACCTGTTCAACTCAACTAACTGTCAAAAAGGCGATCGGTGCTGCCAAGGATGCTGCCCGCATGGACCGCGTCGTGAACTTCTACGCCAGACTCCCCCGTGGTGCTGCCCCTGAAGTTAAGCCTACCGGCATCATCGGCCGCTACCAGGCTCGCTACTTCGGAAAGAACCCCTCCGCTGCTCGTGAGTACACTCTCTCAATCAAGTCTTACAGTGCGAAAGATGCTGATCATTTGCAACTCGATAGCCCTCGCCCACGCCATCGGTACCATCCTGATCCTGGGCTACAGCATGGAGTACTACTTCCACCTCCGTACGTTCCCTATATTCTTCTGGTATACTGAGCAGCAGGACTTACCATTCTACAGGCCACCACAAGAACCACCCCCACTAAGCAACTCGCTTTTTGGTTTCTGCGAGCGGGAGATCCTGTGTATATACCACACACTCTACAATGAAGACGATGTAGAAGAATCAAACTTGTACCACCTCTAAACCGTATCCTTCCATCAGCAAATCTCTCTCTATCATCTATAAGTATCCCGATCAAGCATTGTTTAACAAGAGAATGCCTTAAAAGTAGACTACTCATGCCTGCACAACCTTTGAGATCACATGACCGGCCAGACCGGACACACTAGGTGTATATCAACACATTATAGTATTGTGCCACAGGACTCCTTTGTCACCATTCCAGTAATACTATCTGGCACGAATCATGTCCAGAGCTATGTCTGATAACACATGGAACAAGAACAACTTGATGATGGTCGTACTGAGTACTTTGACTGATATATACTATATTACCTCTGACAGTTATCATGACAATTTTTGGATCTGGAACCGCATGGTTTGGGAAGGGGACAAGTCAAGATGATTGACATTTGTTTTATTGTAAGTTCGACACAGATACCAGTGTATTCAGTGCAAGTTGAAATTCTCAATGCTACAAAGTATGAATGTGGTGAGAGAGGACAAGGTACGTGAATTCATTAAAATCACTACAGTTGGTATTACATGTAGCACTCGTAGTTTGACAGAGGCCACTGTTTAGAACACAACTTGCCAAATAAGGTACCGTCGCTGCAAAGAGAATCTTCTTCAGCCTGATCTGATTTTCCTGAGCTCAGCATCCGCGCGAAGTGTAATCGCCAGCAAAATAGGTCCGAGGTTTTTCATGTGTGATAACTCCAGCGTATCCCAAGGGCCAAACATATGCATAGTCATGAAAGAGGGGCGCTGACTGCTATGCTTACTATCTGTCAAGTACCTGACGTAGTCAGCATGGTACTGAGCAACTATCAAGTAGATTTCATGTCGGTCCTGCGCGACAAGAAAGTGCCTATGTCTCCGGTCAGCATCTCTGTTTTTTTAGAGACGGAATATAGATGTTGCTGAGGGATAAAGGGCACCATACCTCATATCTATTGGGTTTGGCAGCTTTTCACAATCATTCTTTATCCACGCTACCATTTGAGCGCTCTCTTGCATTTGAATAGGAACTGATTTCATGGATCGTCTGACAGGCTTCACTTCGATAATGGCATGAGCTTCTCCGCGACGGTCATCCAGATAGCCGTCAGTTCTTGCCTCAAAACTGGCATTATCAAAGATAGCTTTGGAAGCCTTCCTGTGCAAGGTCCAGTTGTTGGCGAGCTTGAAGGGTATGGTCAGCGCATTCAAAAAGATGACTAAAGCACAGTTCACAATCTGCTCATCCTTGCTTGGAGGGTATAACACATTGTCCGGTTCCTGGGAGTCGGGTGTGACTTCCTGAAAGGGGCTCGGAGTCTCTGGGATCTCTGAGATCGGGGTTTCTAGAACCAGCGTTTCTGAATCATCAAGCGGATCGTGGATACGAAGTTCTTCAATGTTCAATACTGTGGAGATGTTAGTTGATTTTGAAGGTGTTTCCAAGTAGTCTTTGGCAAGCTCTCGATTCAGTAAACGGGAGCGTGTCCGGTGTGCAATAGGAGTTGCAAGTGACAGTGGATCAGTATCATCCTTGGTGTTTGTAACCTCAAGCTGGTAGTGTCGGGCAATTGAAAAGTTTCCTTCTCCAGCATCTGGGCGCGTGAAACTCTGACAGTATGTACCCCATGATTTGTAACCTTTTAGCATCTTCTCCGCCTTAGCAATCCATCTATTGAAGCCAGGCAGCATTTTTGGCAAATCTGTTGCGTGGTGCCCTACCCACAGCACACGAAGCAGAAGAAACTGCTTGTATTCAATCCTCGAGGCTGAGGCTAGCTCTGCACCGTGTACAATCTTGCCTGTGAGTTCCATTTCATCCATGGCATCCTCCCATTCTTGCGCAATTTTAGGTAGATTGCGTGGTAGGTCGGGCATCATGATATGCTTTATGAATGTAGCCAATGAGGGCCCTGAGCGAGTATGAATAAAGACTATATAACCTTGAAGGAAACATACAAGGTATAATTCGCATAGAATGGACTCGATAGGGGAGGGGCTTGCGGTAACTATGTTCGTTCTTGTTATGCCCTTCTATTTCAGATTTAGGAATGACAATCTGGCACTGCTTCCAATGTCCTTTTCGAGTCACAGAGAAGCACAGGCATTAGTATAGCCAATGAGGGATTCTTAGCATGACTCCTAATGTGCGTATGCTGGCTGCGAGTACTTCTCGCTGGTCGACGCTATTGGGGCTCGATGACAGTGAGCATTGACAATATGAGTTTGTAGGTAAGAAAGACAAGCAGGACAAACCAATCACCCTGTGCTTGGTATGAAACAATAAGGGTAAAGGTAGCAATGCAAGAGACGTTCCATCTTCTTGCGGCATCAGCTGGTATCAAATAAGTACTGCTAGCTAGTACTCGAATTGAATGGCGGACATGGCCAATAGAGTGAAGTAAAACACACATCCTTCAATGAAGTCACATTCATCAAGTAAATAGTTAGCATTGAAGACACAGAAGTAGATTGAATTGGATATGTGAAGCTTGAACAGCACTGACTGCGTATGTGTAAGTGAGTAGGTTACTACTACTAGTAGATGCTGTGAATCTGAGAGCGCTGATTGGTGGTTACTCGGCAACCAATGTTGCTGTACCCAAAGGGGAAACACCTTCATTGCCACGTCCATGGAGACGAGGAACAACATAAGAAAGAACAGAATCCCCCTTTTCATCACTCATCCACACATCATTTTCTATGTAAATCAACTACTCGGTATCTCACAAATCAAGAAAATCCTTTTGATTCTCCACCACTATGACACGCGTTGCAGAATCTCCGGCCCGTCGCCAGGTACGGGTGGCATTGAGGGACTTGGCGCTGAATATCAAGAGCCTAGCAGTTGATGAGTTCGACCTGCAGCAACTAGAGAACATCAGTACCAACGTCGATTCTATGGTGCTAGACGAAATGTCATCGGAGAAGCCGATCTATTTTGCGCCCTATTCAGACCACTCCTTTCCAGAGCCCAATGACGATGACCTTCATGGATCTTATAACGGTGTAGATGATGAAACAGACCCTGCTTTCAGCCGTCCCTATGATCGCGCATACGTGATGGACATGCACCTTGACTCTTACATCAGCTACTACAACCTAAAAGCCAAACGTGAAGGGTATAGAAGCCCCTGGGTCCCAAAATGGTAAGGATTCCACTCTCGGATTGAGTATACTCACTAACATATACTATATAGCATCGGGGATTCAGCATTTGGTAACATAGGCCTGTACCGGGATGAGCAGCCAGAGTTCGGATGCTTCAGTATCGCGGAGCCGAAGGACCCTGCCTGTCCACATATTAAAGCGATCATTTACAATAACATGGTCGCCACGGATTCCACAATTCTCTTTGGCGAGTTGATGCCCATTCTCCGAATCATGTTGAAGCAGTATTGGAGAGCAAAGTACATATATTCAATGGTCTCACCGGTAAATACTACGTCATCTACTTACTGGCCAACAAGTACTGACTCATACTCCAGGTCTTGGTGTTCTCGCTCATGGGTTTACAGGCTCGAGTGATTGAAGCCTTTTTCCAGGGTCAAGAGCTGATTATACGCCCCACCAAACTGTATGATTTCAGCCACGGGAATCCCAGTGCCTTCAAAACGTTTACCCAGTGGTATATGGGCAAACCTATCGGGGATACTACGAAGGCTTCCTGATACCTTCGCGGCTTTCGCATCAGCTTGTCATCAGCTACATGTCACGTGCTTTGGTTGTTATCACGTTGCTCTCTAATCCTTTCTCATCGTTCCAGCAGGGAGTCATGGTACGTGGGAGATGTATGTCACGTGGAGGAGTTGCAAGGCGTATGTTTGTTTATGAAGTACATGACTAATGTGGGATGGGTCTGTTTCTTTATTGTGATGTTTCTCAGCAGTCCGCTTCTGCAATAACATTTCTGGGGTGTAAGTACTAAGTCTGACCCTATCTCCAAATAAAATAGCACATGAAATGAACACCCTTCCATAGCGAGGATGGTGTCTTTCCCAAACATTGATCAATCAAGAGGCTCTAAGCCCCCGTACAGCCGAACAACACAATACAGATAATACTATACTCCCAGTACGATGCAGATCGCTCCCCATCCAGCCAAGAAAACAGCCAGGGACAGGGCTTAGTGCTACAGTTTCTTTGACTGTTAGGAACTACTGTAACATCGCTACAGTGTCAACACCCTTCGATGCCAAAGACCTCATAGTTTGTGGCTGTGCAAGAACGGACTGCAGCACTGCAGCACTCACAACTGCCAAGCGAACGATTGCCTCATTGATGGTGGCTTAGCAGTGATGAGAGTGCTAAGTTATGCCCTACTTCTTGGTATGGAGCGTCAGAACCTAATGGGTACGGAGAGGTAAATTCTGTTGTGGAAAGATTGCAAAGATGATACCTTAAAGGGTTGGTGAACTGAGTTTGTAGTTTGTATGGTTGGTATGACTTGGTATTAGTAGATAGAAAGTATTACTAGGTAAGGCAGGGAGATGCAATTCTGGAATGGTCTGGAGGAGATTAGTAAATGATCATGATGATTGGGTTGTTGGGGGAGGGGGGAAGGGAGGTGGTATATGCAGTGAGAACTGTGGAATCATCCTTCTCTCTTTTTCTTTTTTCCTTTTTTTCTTCCCATTTTATTTATTCTACTTTGTGTAATTTAGTTAGTTATTCACCCCAAATGGGTTCCCATTAGTGACAGCATACGAACGACGGGGCACGACGGGCAACTGTTATGAAACTCATTGCCCGCATAAGTAACGGGACATCCACTCTGCTTAGAGTTTAAGGCCAGGGCAAAGAATGCATCGGACCATGGTCCTTTAACGGACATGTCCGTCAATTCAAGCAACGGAGGTAACTTGGCGTGTTTCCCTCCGATATGTCCTCTGTCGGCATCTTATGTGAGATGAGTGAGACGGTCGGGGGCACTCGATAGCTACCCAAGCAGTCGATCAAGTGTTGGGTATCCTTCCAGAGGGTTGAGAATTATGACGAAAGTAGGATAGTGAGTAGGGGAAAAAACCGATGGTGTGGCTTAGTTGCCTTTCAGTCTAGCCTGACTCATAGTAGGTACCGTGAACTTTGCGGAAGTCGTCTGCTGATTCATGCATTGCGATAGACTTGATTCGTTAAGCACTGGCTTCGGAGTGGCGAATTCTAGACTTTGCATATAACGGTATGTGCTACTGGATAGATGGTGATTGGCGATAGCCAGGTACAGTGTCCGGAGCACATGTTGGAGGACAAGCTGCTACCTCTACATTACCAGTAGCTTGGAGCTCAAGTCCAGGATAAACCGTTTATTGTAGTGCCTCGGTGGTCTGGAAATCGCAACGAGATGAGCTGTCTGGGTACAGCCACCATGGGAAACCCGGGCGATGCACAACTGGCATCGCTCCTACGTCAATTTGGGCTTGACGAACCGATGCAGATGCCTCTGATTCTGCAGAAGGGCAGTGTTTTGGAGAGTAAGTAGTGTGTGTGACGTTACTTAATCCCTTACTAACTAAGCCACGGAAGAAAGCAGCACTGCTCCTTGGCCGTCATCTCGAGTCTTACTGCGGAAATTGCTGTGCATCGGCTTAACTCGGGGCAGGGGAAGAGGCCCTTCAACATCTGTCCAGTGAGGGCCTCACAACAGAATGAGGCAAGTCAAATAATTCACGCAGTTTTGGCGTGTTCTGGATTTCTGCCATCAAACCTTGTGGCTATTGTCTTGAATTGTTCAAGTGCCATTCAGAGCGGACACCGCGCTAGCCTTGTCGGAAAGGAAGCGGGGTAAGCAGTGGATGGAGGGTGAAAGTGAATTTACTGAGTTTCCCCTGTGGCGCAGCTGCTTGTGAACAGTCCCCGATCTTGGGGTCCTGAAACCCCCGTTGTCTAGTCTAGACCCTACTTACCTTTCAGTTCTATCTGGCCGTTCACCCACTCCTCTTTAGCCACACCTAATCCGACCCCAGCTAATCCATAATTCGCTATCCACCAAAGTCATGCTCTGGGAATCGGCGCTCCCCGAGATTATTCATTCAGAGAATATATCCATATCAGAGCCGTTGTCGCCTCACTTTGTGAATCGATCATCTTGTTCTGTCGTTGGGCACGGGGATGATTTGGCTATTCTCGATCACGATCCTCGTTTGGAGTCGGTAGACTCCGTAAGGCTACTCTTTCCAGCCTAGTCGGAACATTGTTCCTGTTGGTAGACGGCTTGTACGGTATGTTTTCGGATATAGTGTACTGAAGTAGGATTCACATTTGCTATCGATTGATGATAGCAAGCATAGATGTGCGAGATCTCTTGGGTAGCTACCGTAACAGCTTGCGTAGCAGTATGAAGCTCCCCAGCCATGTCGAACTTGCTAGCGGCGATCCTTCCAGAAGTAAGTAGTAGTACTCCGTAGATAAGTAGCAGCTGATTAGAGACCGACGAATGGCAGTGCAGTGTGATTCGAAGTCGGCATCAGTAGTAACATCCATCGCAGTTGCAAAAGTGAGAGAAATCTCGACTGAGCTCGACATTCGCAAATGGAAGTTCCTCTTTCCAGTAAATTGCATTTACTCACGATTCTTCAGTCCAGAACTTTAGGCAGCAAGCTCCTCCATGATCGTTTGCGGACTGTTGGTTGTCGATGACGTTCCGGCCAGCCAGAGTGCCTGGGGATGATGGCCGGCAAGGCTGCCAGAAAATCACACGCAAACATCGCCCAGACTAGTACCGCGCAGACGTCACTAAAACACTCGAGTCCTCAGAGGTAACAATACCTGCTCTGCTAAACTGGTATCGGTCAATACGGGGGGTGCCCATTTGCCCCAGTGTATTGATGGATGACTCCCTCCTAGTCCTCCTACACTACTACCATATAAGAGCGGAAATATCACCCCCCGAGCTACTCTTCTTTTTCTTGCTGGATTCTACTCATCGCAAAACCAAGATTTTCCTACAATTCCTAGAGCTTCCTTTCAAAAGCAACTTTATTTTCTCCTTTGTTAAGACTGCTCTCTTTAATCTTTGTGTGCCTGTCAGCGCTGCAGGGGAGGATTTCTTCTTCCATTTACTTGACCTCATCTTGTCTTCTGTGTTTGCTTCTTTCAATACTCAACCCACCCCACCCTGACTTGCATTGATCTTCCTTTCAATCCGACAGGATTCAATAGCCTCCATCGATGGGAGATGACACGGGAAACGGCAGAAATCCTTTCTTTCAGGGCAATTGGCCCATCTTTCCCCCTCAATCACCCCAAGGGAACCATCTAATGCCCGGTGTTCCCTATGCTACCTCATCGGTCAGTCAATAATCGAATACATTGAGCTTCGTGGCTTTGGTGTCTAACATTCTGGCATATAGCACTATGCTCCATCCTCTCCGCACTCGCCAGTATCGACTTCGAGAAGTATCAGTCCAACTGATGGGCTGCATCTAGACATGAGCTTTCTCCCGGACGGATTGCTGAACGATATGGCGGGTGGGCATATGGCAAACAATGGCATACAGGGACTACCTGTGGGTGACAATGACTCATTGTCCCTGGTAGTCCCTACTATCTCTCAAGCGCAGGGTGGCATGCACGCCAATCATCTCCATCCTATTCTGTCTCAACTTGCGACTGCAGTTGAAACGAAACTGCCACAGCAAGATGCAGCTCATCTTTATGAGATGAAAGACCTGCTCAGTGCCAGCCACAACAGACTTATCAGGATGATTCAGCACCAGATTGACATCATAGAGTATCCATCTCATTCGCCCGGTTCGTCTGACTCGCCTGGCAGCCCGCACAATGGATACAACTACGTCTGCAAACTCTGCCCCAATGGAAAGCGCAAATATTATACGGATCGAGGTAACTTCAGGCGTCACGTCTCAGACAAACATCACTCTGAATTTCGCTATCTGTGCGTACATCCACGATGCTCCTGGTCAGCAAACAGACGGGACAAGGTTTATTACCACATGAGAAACCAGCATATGTACCAAGTGTCTCGAGTGCAAATAGATCGAAAGACAATTAGACAGAAATCACCGCGCCAATGTGGGCTATGTCCGCAGCCCGTAAACTGCTGGGCGGAGTACTTCAAGTGCGTTGCCAACCATTGTCGTGTCAGGAAAGTCGAATCAACCAATTCAAGCGCAAGCCAGAGTAGACGGGGCAGCGATGATCGCGGAGGAGGGGGCAATAACGGACCTGGCTTCGGTGGGAATTTCTTCCCTGGAGGTGGTTTCGGTCAATTTGATCCGCACCAGTTCTACCCTGGCAACAGTGGGGGATTTTCTTCGACTGGTGGCGGTCAGAATAATGGCCATTACGGTAACAGTTTCTCTGGCTACAGGGGCGCTACAAACCGAGATGACGAAGAGTTTACCTCAGGCTACTCCTCCGGTGAAGCTGATGCTGTCTCAGATATAGCTACATCATCGTCTTGCTGCTCCAGCGACGTACCACACACGGTGGAAGTTCCTGTCCCATCTAATATCACAAGCCAGCATTTGGCACTGATGCAGATGGCAGAGAGAGCTGAAAGCTGCGACTCGGTCTCCCACGGCGAGGATTGCCCGCCATCCACACCTGGTGAAACGGATATAAGCAACCCGGGCGACAAAGCTTATCGCCGTATATCACGGCCTTCGGGTAGCACGGATCTAACCCCCAAGCGGGGCTTCCCTCCTATGGCTGATGATAGTTCCGAGAAGCGGTGTCAAGGCTGTGGACACATTTTCGACGATTGCGATAAGTGCCGTCGTCTAAAGGGGACCTCCTTCCAGTGCCACTTGTGCACAGACAGTAGCTGCAAGCTCCACGCTTTTGAGAGAGACCTCAAAGGAAGCGGAGAACCGCAGAGCTCCAGGCAGGCAATTGATGAAGGTGATATAGGTGTTCTTGCGCACCCACTCCGGGCTGATCATTGTTCCCTGTCGCCAAGTGAGCACCCTCTGGAGTCTCCGACCCTCGGTGATTATGATCGGCATACAAAACCTGAAGAATGCTATCATCTAGGAGCTCGAGTATCATCGGGTGGCCATACCCTTGGCTTGGGAGCTTCCAATGATGGGGAAGTACATTCTGGCAGCCCTGGTTCTCTTAGTCGGGATTCGCCTGTTGGCTCTGAAGTGACTTGTTCCCCGATAAGTCTGGACACTTCATATTGCCAAGTGCTACCTTCTCTGGACACCAAAGTACCACGAGAAGAAGTCGAAGCTGCTCATGGATATGGAAGCGGTAAGCTAATGATGACCAAGGAGTTGAAACAAACACTCGATATGTTTTCTGTTGCGGAGTCGACATATCAGTCGTACGAAATCCTCTCATTCTGTGTCCTGAATGCAGTGCAAGAATTTTTCGACCAGATGCTTGTCTCTTGGCTCGTCTGCGAGGCCGCCCTCCTACAATCAGTGTCATTGTCGTACTGTGGGTGCTTGCCCCATCCTCTTCCAATGGATGAGTCTGCTAAACATCGGTTTAGGTATCGGTGGAAAGGGCATTTCGGGGAAACAAACCGAATCCGCCATTAGTCGGCGCTACCTACCCTATCCATGGGAAAGGATGTGTTACCAATCCACAGCTAGACGAATTCCGCGGAGAAAGCATTCACTGCTGCGAACGAAGCTCCAAGTGATCTCCGGGGTCCTCATCCTGCGTGCCACTGTTATGAAGAGGAAGCCATTGATGACTTCATCCACAGACACTTCCGCGGAAGCTTCCGAGCCTAGAAAGGTAGGAACTGAGCTCCAGGTAATTGAACCAGGTATCCATGCGGGCCCATCTTTCGAAGTGATGTTCAGCCGAGGCACAGAGGTGGTAGCGGACGCATTCTCCAGCTTGATCACCGGCGTGATGTCTGCAACAGAAGAAGAGATGGAATACTTCAAGCCCCTATCCGCGCATATTTCGAACCTCTTCACAAGAGGATCGTGGCAGGGAGAGGAGAGCCTGACTGAGTGACTCTATTGCCTCTGTAGAGGCTATTTCGGTTGACTATTTTTGCATGTATACTTAATATTTTCCTTATTCACGAATCTTACGACCGCATGACTTGATGTTGATATCCCTTGCATGTGTATGTTAATATGTGACACGAGCTTCATGACTCGCTAATATGAATAATGATACACATTCTGAATAATGAACTATGACATTGTCATCCTCCGCACCCGGCATCGGGGATAGGAGTTAACAAGCCCGCGCACTCCGAGATGACATAACCGACCGGTATCGATAAGCGGTGCCAGCAACAACGTAAGTAGTATTTCGGAGCCAGTCGTTGCCGGCCAATTGAAGACGCAGCCCGGACACCTCCCCTTGTCCTTTATCACTGATTGCTCTCCCTTGCTATTGGAAGTCGGGTGACAGACCCTAACCGACTAGTGCCTGCTATGATACGATCCCAGTCGCCCATTCACCGACTACTACTCCCACCCCCCCTCACGTTTTCGGCCGATCATGAGTACTAGTCCTCCTCCTCCGCCGCCGTCTGGCTCGCCCCCCGCCCAACCGGGGTCTCCTCCGTCCCGAGATTCTGGAACTGTATGGCATCCCGCTAGGGAATGGTTGGAAGAGGAAGAGGACGAGGATGATATGGACTATGAGCCGGATGAAATAGAGGCAGAAGAAGAAGAAGAAGCAGAGCTAGATGCGGAATTGTATGAAGACGAGGATGACATTGATGATGCTGATGATCATCGCTTCGGTAGGATTTCCCTCCCCCCTCCTTTTACAACTGGCACATTGGCTTGCATGCGTTGGATTTACTTCTTCTTTTGCTAGTGTCTTTTATTCTGAGAACTTACACCTTTTTCAAGACCCGGAATTGCATCTAGGTAATATACATATTGAATTCGCCATGGATGAGTCGGACCATGAGCAGCAGGGTGAGGAGCGTCACGAGGGAAGGCACAATAGAGGTAGAGTTCCCGCATTCTTTTTTATTGCTTACTGCTGCTGTTGCTGTTGCTTAGGCTTTGGACACTCATTGTAGCAGTTTCCGCAGCTCGATTACTGAACCTTTTGGCTTCGAATGGTCTACGCCATATTTTACATTATAACGGATTACATGATGCCAACGTGGTAGAGGACGACGAGGAAGAAGATTACGAGTTCGGATTCTTCGGATACCGGCGACGAGCACGACGATCGGGAGGTCAGCAGTTCCCCAAGGTACCAAGCGAAGAGGGAGCGCAGCTCATGGGTTCTGGTGATTTCGGATCCAACCCTCACTATGTGGACAAATTGAAGAGGCGCAAACAGGCCCTTGCGACGAAGATAATGTGGCGAGAACTGGGGGTGGATGTGTCGGGGCCGCAGAGGAGGGATATGCAGTCGATAACTCAGGTGGGATTCATTCAGCTGGGGAATACGATTGGTTCTGGCTGACTGTTGTAGGGACTTATTCCGGGCTCGGTGGCGGATAAGATCGTTCATTTCGACTCGCGGTGCTACTCTGGACAGTTCTCAGACGATGGGGATTTCTTCTTCTGCTGCGCTCAGGACTTCAAGGTCAGGATGTACGATACGTCCAATCCGTTCGAGTGGAAGTATTACAAAACTGTGGACTACCCGTTTGGGCAGTGGACTATCACCGACGCCAGTCTGAGTCCGGACAATAAGTTCCTGGCGTACAGTTCGATTCGGAACCTAGTCTGTCTTGCGCCCACGGATCCAGCGGATTCCTCTGACCCGGCTATATTGGATTTGTCGTCGCTTTCAGGAAGGCGAGGCGGGCGTGGATTGTATGGCAATTCTCATTTCGGGGTATGCACAAACCGGTTAAGAGCGGACCGTCTCATTTTGACTGACTGGTATAGATCTGGTCGATTCGATTTTCGGGCGACGGTCGGGAAATCGTGGCTGGCACATCCGATCAATCGGTTATTGTTTACGATTTAGAAACGCGCCAGTCCGTCCTGCGGCTGCAGAACCACGAAGACGACGTGAACGCTGTTTGCTTCGGCGACAAGTCATCTCCCCATATTCTTTATTCGGGCTCGGACGATACTACGCTGCGCGTGTGGGACCGACGCTCGATGGGCGACGGGCGCGAGGCCGGTGTGTTCATGGGTCATACAGAAGGGTTAACTTATGTTGACAGCAAGGGCGACGGGCGATACGTACTATCCAACGGCAAAGATCAGTCGATGAAGCTCTGGGATTTGAGAAAGATGATGACGACAGCCAAGTTCGACACCATTGATGTTAACCGATACACGACCGGTTTCGACTATCGATTTGAACCGTATCCCGACGACTATTACGAACCTCATCCCCATGACTGTTCGGTAGTAACGTTCCGGGGTCACCGCGTGCTCAAGACTCTCATCCGCTGCCACTTTTCCCCTCCGGGCAGCACCAACTCGAGATATGTGTATACGGGCAGTGAAGACGGTAAGGTATATGTATATAATCTGGATGCCACACTTGCAGGCACGATTGATGTAGGGCAAGCGACGGCCAACTCGCGGCCGCGCGATCCGGATATCTTCGCCGCTGCATACGAAATCCGTAGCAGTCGCAGCGATGTGATGTGGAAGACATGCGTTCGGGATGCCAGCTGGCACCCGAACTCCCCTGTCTTGGCAGGTAAGTTATCGCGGTTGAGTGGATGAGATTGAGCTAATCTGAGGTTGTAGCAACGTCCTGGAATGGTTGGGGATTGTCCACTGGTACGTGCACACTGCATACCTGGAATGACGGGGTGGATAGCGATGAGGGCGATCCACCGGTGGCAGGGAACTACGACAGCCGATTGAACTCGGTTCGGGAATTCAACTTATTCAGGGAGAAGATGATGCAGAGCCGAAGTCGACCAGTCCAAAGATCTGCATTGGACGATGAGTTACATTATGAGTTATGGTGATGAGAATTTGGACGTATACGCAGGCAGGTAACTGCATTCCACTTTCTTTTTCCACTGCATGACCGCCATGGCGTTGGCTGGCTAGCTGAATATAATTGAGGATTGGCAAAGAGACTGGGATAAGTAGATAGTCATAGAATGTAATTAGCTCGTTCGAGGATGGGGTTATCGATAACGCGATCACATATAGTCAACAATCTAGGCCGGGCTATGAATAGCACGGTCTTTCTTTCTCTCTCGGACGGGGAAGCAAATGGTCGGCGTGAGGAGCAGCACTGCTCTCCTCGACCCATCACGGCAGACAGAGGACATTGCACATGTCTGATGGAGTAGTTCACAACTGAAGAGAAAATTCGTGAATCATTTGCGATCCTAATAGAGTTCGCAACAACACCAGCCCGACGCGTCACGATCTGGGGTCCGGAGCGGAAGTTCAACCGAAGCCGAGAGAAGGCCGGAGGAGAGTTGAGGTCGAGATCGCCGCTGTCCTTCCCTCTCTCTTGTCTCTTGCTTCTGCTTCCGCTTCCCATCGCGCTTTACCCGCAGTCTGGCTTCGGACACGTCTTCCCACGCTTCCATCCCATCCCCATCATCTTCCCCTAGCCCTATCCCTTCTTTCTTCTTTACCTTCTGCATTCCTCACTTCTCCGCTCTCTCCTCTTCTTTCGCCACCCTCCGGCGTTAGCGGCGACGAGTCAAGTCAGGGGATTCCAGCTGGACGTGTGAACCACTGGACCTGACCTAACCTGAATAACATCAGTCTCGCGAGAGCTGAGCTGAGCTGAGCTTGGGAAACTAACTGCGCTCACCGACGTTGTTTGCTGGAACATAATTCTTTCTTCTCCTTCCATTTCCTGTACTCTCTCATCTCTGGAAGTTCATTCATATCTCTCGGACCTGTTCTCTAGCACAAGCGCTCTGCCGGCCCCGGCAGCAGCTGATCATCGGCGCCGCATCTTCTGTGGAAATTACCTGCAACTCTCTCCCTTAATCCAATTCTACTACCCTCTCCCTGTACTGAAAAGAAAAAGAAAAAGAAAAGTCCTGGAACAAGGCGCCAGAATCTCCGTTTCAGAGCTTATCAGATTGACGAACTGGTCAAGTGTTTGTTCTTTTTGAAGCTGTCTTCGCTTCGGATTGTACGTATCATCAAGCCTTTTTTATGTTCCTCTGTTTTGTTTCGATTGCAATCTGCCAATCGATTTCTCCTGGTGCCTTATCCCCTGTGAGCTTTAAAGAAGAAAACCAGAGTGTTGAAACCAAAAAACCGTGGATTTCCCGCCATCGGAGTCGGAGGAAATGATCCCAGAAGCCTGCTTTTGTTGTTGTCGATGTTTCTCTAAAATATCCAGTGGATGAGAATTCCCTCCTTGCTAATTGACCGCCTGTGTCTACAGACATGTACTTCCCTTGAAAATCAAATCGATCCTGAAGCTTGAGAGAAAAGAAGAAGAAGAAGAGCCAATATCCAAGGAGGACTGTATATCACAAGCAAGCAATCAAGTTTTCCCTTGAGAGAAATCCGATCATAAGCTAAAACACCATGGCTACCGAAGATGATAACTTCGATATTGACATCTATGGAGATGGCGGTGGCTACAATGCCAATGACCAGGGCCCCGAGGATGAGATGAAACATGATGACACAGAACTTATCCTAGATGCGCCGGAACCCACACAACAACAACAGAATGGGAACCCCAACCACCAAGGCGACGGCTCCTCCGACGGTACCGTCAAGCCCGACAGTGAAGGCGGCGCTCCCCATAGTGACCCTGTAACCCAGGCGGGCTCCGCCAACCCACAATCCGCGGCCAAGGAGACTCCCACCCCCCAGCAGGGAACCAAGCGCAAGGAGCACGATGATCGCCCGACAGACCCTGATGCTACCCCTGCTCTGCTCATATCGGACTTGTATTGGTGGACCACGGACGACGACATCCGCGGCTGGGTGTGCCAGGCCGACTGCGAGGATGAACTGAAGGACGTAACGTTCAGCGAACACAAAGTGAACGGTAAAAGCAAAGGGTAAGCGGGATGCAGCGGTGGTGGTGACATCTCCAGTCCACTGATATGATGTTATTATACATATAGACAAGCGTTCCTCGAATTTACCACCCTCCAAGCAGCCACCGCAACGAAACACAAGATCGAGTCATTCAGCGCCGGCGGACAAACGCGCAAGCACATGGTCACTTACACCAGCCCGCAACCGAACCCGTTCCGCACGCTGCCCAAGGATGCGCCTATGCGCAAGGACAACCAGGCGCGCTCGATGTCCGGCGGCTTCAACTCGCCCAACCCGAACATGAACTTTGGCGGAGGCATGAACAACATGGGCGGCGGCGGCGGCGGCGGTTATCGCGGCGGACGCGGTGGATACAACAACCGGGGCGGCATGTCCGGCGGCATGGGTGGTGGGAACTTTGGCGGCAACCGGAACTTCCAGAACCCCATGGGTGGCTTCCAAGGGCCGATGGTGGGCGGAGGCTTCCAGGGTAATCCCATGGGGATGCAGAACTACGGTGGCTTCAATAACCGCGGCGGGATGATGGGCGGTATGCGCGGTGGCCCTGGCGGCATGCGCGGTCGTGGTGGTGGCATGGCAGGACCCAATATGATGGGAATGCCGGGGATGAACCCGATGGGAGGCATGGGGATGAATGCGATGCCGGGGGCGATGAATCCGATGATGGGAGGTATGGCGGGTAACATGGGGATGCAGGGTGAGTAGTCCCAGGAAACAGTGGGTAGTGTGTTTTTGTATACTGATCGAGTGCAGGACAAGGTGGATTCCAGGGCCCCAACCCAGCCTTTAACCAGGGCTTCTTCCCTCCCAATCAGGGCGTCGGCGATGGATCATGGAACCCTCATGGGGCCAAGCGCAGTCGCCAGGAGTGATGATTGACCCTTGTACACCTCCCTTTTTCTTCTTCCCCTTTTAACGTTTCTTTCATTTCTCTGCTCTATCAATATCTGGGTTTCATTGCGCGGGTTCGGGGAAATTGGTTTTCATTATCTGTTAGGGTGTATTAGACAATTAAGGGTCTGCAGAAATCTGTTTTCGTTCATTGCTTGCTTGTCTGCATATGTAGTTATAATTCGAGTATAGGAGTTGGTTGGTAGTTTTAGCTTATCATATTACTTATCAATAAGAAGCAGATAGCATACATACAAGATAGTAGATAGTAGTAGTATCTAGAATGTTGTAAGTACTAAAGTAGTGACAGTGACAGCGGAATGGAGCAACAATGCACCGATAACCCGATCGGCGGGAATTCCAGCCCCTCTTATCGTCATCTGCCTACAACCCTCTCTTGAATTTAGATACCCCTGCTATTTACTCGAACCGTGGTGATTAACTCACCCTCTTCGTCTCTAATTGATTCCTATCAGCGACAGGAATTCCCCAATACCGCAGAATATAATCTAACCCCCGAGTTAATCCACCACTTTCACCACCTGGAAGTTAACGCATCGAGCTTCCCCGCATCCACTACCACTACCCTCTCTACACCAACAGAACAGACATAACACACCAACGAATAACCAACTCCCGAAGGAAGACATCGAAGATGCAAGCCGTCCCCGAATCCCGCCAACAAACCTTCGAGGAGATCTACGGCCCTCCGGAAAACTTCCTCGAGATAGAAGTACCCTTCCCCCATACCCTTCCCCCTCTATCCCCCCATACCCCCCACCACATCTAACCCATGAAATGGAAAAATAGGTCCGAAACCCCCAAACGCACGGCACCTCACGCAACATGTACACCTCCTACGAAATCGTCTGCCGGACCAACATCCCCGCCTTCAAACTGAAACATTCCGTCGTGCGGCGCCGATACTCCGATTTCGAGTACTTCCGGGATATACTCGAGCGGGAGTCGACGAGGGTCACGATCCCGCCGCTACCGGGGAAGGTATTCACGAATCGGTTTTCTGATGATGTGATTGAGCATCGACGGGAGGGGTTGCAGCGGTTTTTGCAGATTGTGGCGGGCCATCCGTTGTTGCAGACGGGGAGTAAGGTGTTGGCGAGTTTTGTGCAGGGTATTTTTCCTTCTATTTCATATATCTCCTAGGGAAGGGTTTGGGGTTGGAGGTGTTTGGCTAACTGTGATTTTTTTGTCTAGATCCGAATTGGGATCGGAATGCGTGGTAATTTTTACTGCGTTTTGTGAGGGGAATATGGAGGGAGGGGTTAGGGATATGGACGGGGGATAAAGGAGGGGGATATGGTACGGGAGAATGAATGAGGGAGGGTATATGGTGGTATGGTAGGAGGGAATCATTGGCAATTGCGGGTTGAGGTAAGGTAGTATTCGTCTGTTCATTTTTTCATTCTGCTGTCTCTGTCTGGCGGATATCATGTAACTAGCGTTCTGTTTGTCATTCTGCAATCAGTGTTTGTTCTGTCATTCATGTCTGTCTGTTCTTAGCATAAAAGCTGTTATCATCCTGAGCATCTTCAGACTACTCCCATGCAATCTACTATGGTGATTATAATTAGTCGGTAGCACTGTCTACTGACTATTAAATGCAACTACACTAGCTATGCAGGCATCTATGCAGCTCGCTATGCAGCCCACTATGCAAGCTCATCCCACATCGGCGCCAACGTATTATCTGCCCACGTCGCATCCACCCCCGAATTCTCGTCCATCGCAAACGAAAATACCCCCGCACTGCTCGTGCTCTCGTGGAGTCCCTGCGGCGGGGCTGGAGGCGACAGCGCTGGATCAATTGGCCCGCGCGCATTGCCGCTCTCCGCCTGCCCACGAGCAGATCCCCGTGCAGCATGCTGCTTTCCAGGGTCAGGGTTCCCCCCTGGCAATCGTCCGCTCACGGACCCTCCGTCCCGGTAGGCGTGCGGGAACTTGGTCCGAAATCGGTCTCGCAGGTCCGTGGCTCGGCGATGGCTCAGATTCAGTCGCCTGTCCTGCTGGATTAGCGTCCACTGGAAGCCATGCACGGCGTAGCCTTTCAGCAGCGCTTCGTCCTCGACCACGGTAAATGGGCGGCGTGAGCGTCGCCGCGACTTCATCGTAAAGTGCGGCTCGGGAATGCCCAGCGACGCCAGCGTGGATTTGGATCTACTAGAGAGCGTAGGGGTAGTCTTAGACAAAGTGCTGTTCTTGGCCTTGCTGCCTTTCGAGTCAGCATCCTTGGAGCTGCTGGCCTCATTCACCGCAG